GACACTTGGTCTGACAAAGATGTGCCTTTGTTTGGCCACCACAGTAGCAGGATAAGAATATACACCCCAGCTACCTAAAAAGTGTCAACCAAGTGGTGTCAGTATTTCTGTGTTTCGTTCAAGTGCTGTTTCAGAGGAAAGTTGCTGAAGTTTTAAGGTTCTGTTCCTTTCTTTCTGGGCCCTCGAATGGTCTGATTTGTCATGGTGTGGCATATGATTTGTTCATTAACTTTGGGAATCAGCAGACTGTACTTTGTCCTAACTTCGTGGTGTTGGGATGAGGTGTTTGGTGCAGGTTTCTATTGTGTCCATCAACTGTTTAAAAAAATATAACACCCATGATTGGCCAGTTTTTGAAAGAGCCACCTCATGTTTTTTAAAGCTGGAGGAGAAGGACTGGAAGCTGTTAGTTGTCACCTCCCTTTAATCACAGCTGACAGACCCTCTTCCTCCAAGCAGCCCTAAGTCCACTGCTGTGTCCAGATGAACTGCTGCCACGCTTATATAAATTGCTTGGCTCAGTTGCGTAAAAAGTCACCCATTTTGGCATCCAGAAGAACAGGAGACTCATGACATCTGGCACCACAATCTCTAGTTTGAAAGCAAGAAGATGCTGTGGCAAAATTGTTCCTGCACATGTTTTAATGTTGTTATAGAGACAGTGTAGAAGAAGGAAGGAAGACAAGAGTCTGCAATGTTCCCTGAAATCCAGGCTGTCCAGCGGGTCTTGTTAGTCCATATTCCCGAAGATTTCGCTGTGCCAGTGTGCTGTGGTCTCTGCCAGGTGTGGATGACATGCCATAAGCCTCACACTCCCATCTCAGTGCCTTGGAATGCCAACACTGAAGGGGGGAGGGCAATGTTTTTTGCTCTCCTGATCCACATTGTCAAATCTCCACAGGAACACTCTCTCTTGCAGCAGCTATTGCCCATCTTGGAGCCAGGCAGGTGACAGGGTCCTGCACAGTGCTACCTGAATCTTAATGTCCCACTGCATTCTTCAGCCCCTGTGAGGGACGAGCAGCAGTGTGCATTGCAGTGTTCAGGTGCTGCTGCTTCTACCAGCTTTGTTACTCTTTTGATGAACCTCTTTTGTGAGGGGGACTTTCAAATACGTGACCAGTTTAAAGTTGTGTGGAGAGCTGTACTAGGTTTCCTTTGCTGTGCCTGTGAGGCTCTACATTCCAAGGCCCTCCAGGGAAAGGTGTTCATGGCTCCTTTTTCCTGAAGAGAAAAGAAGAAACCCTTTCTCTTTTGCCCTCTATGCCTTCCTGCCCGGCAGGCAGTCACCATGATCCACCTTGCTGCAAGTTCCTACACTTCCATGTTGGCTCTAGGAGGGTTTTGCATGATGCTCTGGAGCTGCTCTTGGCTGTCAGACCTTGGCACTGTGCCACTCGAGTGGAGCTGGCCAAGTTGCCCTTTCTTTGAGCCAGCAGACCAATTTCTTTGATATCTTCTGAGGTTTTCTTGTGAGTGGAGCTGTAAATGCGAGCTGCTTTCCTCTGTGCTACATTGTATGGCTTTATTTTCACACAGGGAAGGAGATTTTTGAATCTTAACTATCCCAAGAGATTCTAATTATTTCCTTAAAAAAAAAAAAGTCAGATTTACTTGTATAATGACATAAAAGGAGAGAAAAGTAAAATACAGGAATGGAAATTTGACTTGAAGTATACATAAGCCCTGAAGTATGGGAGAAGCTGGTCTTAGGATGTGGCTCTGTGAGCTTGTACACCCTAATTTCTCCATCTGAAAATTGAGGATCATGGAAAATACACCGGGTTCTGTAGGACCTGTGGAAAAACACTCCCAAAACAGCAAGCTCTGCATCACAGCTCTCCACCAAGGGAGAGGAAATAACTGCTGCTCTTCACTAGGGTTGAAGTACTTGCCTGATTTTAATGGGCCCTTGATGTTTTACTTGAGTTCACAGTCATTCTTCCTTTGGCTCGTGTTTGCTCCCTGATCTCCCCAGCCCTTCCCATTGGCACCGTGTCCACGTTGTTTACAGCACCAAGGCCTATCTCAGAGTCCTTGACTTTGGTGCAATCCATCTCAGCAGCCTGTCAGGGCTTGCTGTGACCCTGCCTCCTCAGATCCTGCCTCGTGTGCCGGGCTCTGCTCTCCCTCGGCGGCAGGAAGTGCTGATTAGCTCTTCCTCCTGCTCCTCCTGGCAGGTCCCTGCACCCAGAGCTGTGCTTCAGCACCTCCCCTTCGCCGGGCACCGGGGTGCCTTGAGTGGTGTTTCTAACAAAGCCTCTTCAGTCAGCAGTCCCTTACAAACAGTACAAGGCTTTCCAGCCCAGCCAGGGCTTTGAGGAACCTGAGTTCCTTGTGTGAGGATGGTGAAGCCCTCCAGATGTCTGGGAGGGGCAAGAGGGGTGCTTGCCACCTGCAAAATGAGCAGGCTTTCTCACGTTAAGGGCAGACATACCCAAGCTCTGCAGCAGGTGTAGAACTCTTGCATACCAAAACAAAATTGCAGCCCTCGGTTTTAGTACTGCCTCCCCCCTTCACATCTTTTAAACAGTACTGATGACTACTTTTAAGAAGTACTAACTTGATCCTGATTCTTTTTGGGAAGTTGGACTTATTCATCCTTGGGAGTGTGGAAGTGGAGGTCAGGAACAACGGATTTGCCTGGAGACTGCAGGCCCTAGAGCGCCCCACTGGAATTATGTCCTCTCTCCCAGAGCATCTCCTTGCAAGAAGGATTTTGTTTGGGTTTTTTTCTCCCATTCTGCTTTCAGAAATGACTGACACAGCTCCCTGAGGCACAGATTATGTGATCCAATTCAGGCTACTGTTGTTTGTGGAGCAATGTTTGTCACCCAAGTTAATTTGCAAAGCAAAGAGAAAGTGCTGATAGAGGGGTTGCCTCTGGTGCTTCTTCCCAAAAGTGTTTAGAGGCAGCACACAATCTTCTCCAGGTTGAGACCCTTTCCTTGAACTAGATGTTGTGGTGACTGGGGATAGTGCCACCTCTGGGAATGCTTGGGCATCTCCTGCTTTAATCCATTTTGGAGAACTTGTAGGGCCTGTTGGTGACCCCTTTGAGGCTCAGAATTGGAATGCTGCAGTTGGTTTCCCTGTGTTAATTGTCAGCTGTCAGTCACTTACCTGTACCTCTCAAAGCACGATTGTGACAGGCTCATGTAGCACCTCCAGAACAAAAGCAGCTGGGAAATGAGATGGTTCAGAGAACTGTACACACCTGTGGCACCAACAGAACATTCCATCCAGGCTTGTCAGTTTTATTTACCCACGATCATAAGTAGGAATCAGCCTCTCCATGAAAATGGCAAAGTATAAATCCCTGTGGCTTGTTGCAGTACTCTCTGTTCAATTTTAGTTTCTCTTCTGGGAATTCACACGAGCACTGTTTAAGGGTTATCTGCCTTGATAGCTTTGTGTAGTGAATCTGTTCTCCTTTCCTGTTGTTGGAAAACCTTTTCTGGTACTGCACAGCTGTCAGCACAATAGAGCCACAAGGATTTTTTTATTTATTTTGGTGGGAGCAATGTCTGTAACTTATTTATGGGTTTTTTGTCATTTCTCAGAGTCATTCACCACTGATAAAGGACTCCTGTGCTGGGTGGAGCAGAGGAGCAAATTGCACTTTGCTGCCAGGGACACATCCAGGCAGGGAAAGGCCGTTGAGAACGTTCTGTAGTGTGCAGTCCCTATGAAGCAAACACCCAACTCCTTGTCTTGTGCAAACTCAATGTGAAAATAACGGAGCTGCTTTTTTCCTGCTGGGGTTTCAAGCTGGCTCATCAACCTTGATGTCATTCCTTGCTCCAGCCTGCTGCAGAAATGCAGAAAGTGAAGGGGGAATGGGGAAATGCATCCTTTGCTTGACTGTGTGATTACTGTGGGCTTAGCTGCTCTCATTGCTGATGGAGATCTCTTATAGCAAGAGCTGATGGGAGGAGAGGGAAGATCCCTTTCCTCTTATTCACGTTCCTTGGTATCCCACTGCCAGCCGTGGTGCTGGGTTTGCTTTAGCAGAGAACACATTTCAGGGTGCTGCATCCACAGCTTGTGGTTATCACCTGCACCTCAGCCTAGTTTGGTTTGAACCAGTAAGGAGAGGCTCTCGATTACTTGGGTTTGTGTGGAACTTAATTCCTCAATGATGGATTTTTTGATTGTTGGTTTGGTTTTGTTTTTTAAAGATGAGGAGATTGTAAGACTGCTGCAGAAAAGGGTCTCTACTTGCCTTGCTTGATAACCTTGCTGCAATCAGGTTGTGTGACCAGGAGTGAAAAAGGAGCCTCGGAACAGCTTATTTCCCTGTGGGACACCAGTCTTTCACTTTGACTGATGTTCCCATTGTAGCTCTGCTCCAGGGGCTCCTCTGCAATCTCTGCTCGGAAGGATCAGTCTCCTCCTTTGGCCACCATTTCCTGCAGTTAAGGCTCTCTGGCCAGTGTTTTCTGCCTGGGGGAGCCATGGAGTCATAGGACTTGTGGAAGGAGCAGAGATAACAAGCACCTATCTGTTCTTCTCTTCCATGCCTCCGGGATGTCCGGGTGTCCCTGTTAGAACTCCTCTCCGGATGAGATAGTGGAGGTGTCGCTGTGGGGCAGTCAGGGCAGAAAACAATAGCAGGTCGAGTCCAAAAAACAACATTGACCAGTGAGTACATCTCTGCTGTCAGTCAGGGGCAGAGCTGCTCTGGGGAGGTCAAGGCTGGAGCTGTACCCCACATCCCCTCGGCTTCTTCCTCTGATAAACTTCCAGGAGAGCGACCACACTTGCTCTTCTGGAAGCTTGGAGCTGGGAGCTCCACTGAGAGGAAGGCTGCAAGAGCCACAGCGTGTGTGAGGGCTTTCAAGCCTCTGTTCCTTGAGCAGTGACTGCTCCTTGGCTGAGTGGGATGTTCCAGTACTCGTTTTTCTGCATCTGCTTTGTCATCCAGCTCCAGCCAGTGTCTTCGATGGGTGAGTAAGGAGGCATTGCCTTATTTCTGTTTGCCATCTGTAAAGGTTCATGCTGAGCCTTGGTATTCTTAAGTGAAAGACTGGAAGATGGGAGAAATATTCTTTTCCTTTGAAGATGATGTAAAATTCTTTCCAGTTGGAAAGATCTTTCTGTCACAGAACGTGAAGTCTCCTGTACTGGGAGAACCTCTCCTGCCAAGGCACTGTGGGATTTTCCTCTCCCTTTGGTGGGCAGGCTCTATGAATAGCCATTATGCTACCTTTTCACCTGCTTCTTTGACAAATCTGAACTTAATTTAGTGTCATAATGCAGTGCTGCTCACTACGTTTCTTAGTTGTGCTGGAGCAGAGACCTCCAGTTACACAATCCACACAGGATTAATCTCTGCAGAATGGTGGGCTCACAAATGCTTACTGGAGCCTGATTTGTCACCCAGTATATATGATCCCATGTCAGCTAGAGAACTGATGATATCGTCAAGATTACAAATGGAGAGGCTTTGCTTCATAGCTAATGCTTGTCAGGCTGAACTGCTCGGGCCACGCACGGAGTGTTGGGGAGGAGAAAGAATTGAGCCAAGAAAAATGAAAAACAGAGGGAGCTGGAGACAGTGATATGTCTTGTGCAAACCGCCAAGCTTTTGTTGGTTGGGGAGAGGAGACGAGAGGCTGATCAGTTTTTTTTTCTAAAAACTCCAATCAGTTTTCAGTACACTGTGCTGCCAAGGGCTGCTGGTGTCTGCAGGGAGGTTGGCTTGGGGCAACACTGGGACTCCGAGGGTGGACATGAGGATCTGCAGTGTTCCAAAGAGCACTGTCTGCTTATTCTGCTTGTTTGCCTCCCCCTCACTCCTGCCAGAAGCTCTCAGAGGAATGAAGGATGTGAGGGAAGGCTACCTCAGTTCCCCTGATGTGCCTTCTTGCCAGCTCCCTTTGAGCTGCTGCACCTTCATCTCAGTAAATTTTGTCTTTAAATTATCTTCTGAATGTTTAGGGCTCAACGTGCTCTCCCTAGATGAGTGTTTCCAGAGGCTGTCCACAGAGGATATTTCATAAAGTTAATTGCATGAAAGCTAATGAGGGTGTGTGTATTTTTAGTGCTGCCCAGTTGGGAAGCTGACAGGGCATTCCCGCTTCACCTCATTTGGCTTTGAACAGCATGAAAACCTTTTCATCTTAGTCAGTGACTCACCCTAAGGCCACACCAAATCCTCTGGTGGAAAACCAAGGGAGTTACATTGAGGGAAGCCCAGGGGAAGCTCTGTTTGGGACACATCTTTTCCTTTTGGGAAAAGTCAAGCGAGCTTTTGGAGGATGGGATTTCCAGCACTGCTGTTGTCTGTGGGTAAGGGCAGGCAAGGAGAGGTGGGTGAAATGGAGAGCTCCTGAGGCATCTCCTCAGAGATTCCCTCCTGCCTTCCCCTCTCTGCTGCTCAGGAGAGCTGGGCTGGTTGTGGTGGCAGTGAATCAGCTCCTCTGCCTGTTTTTGAACTGTGAGATTCCCTTCCTAACCCAGATCCATGCTCTGCTCTGCAGCACTCCTGATTGTGGCAGCTGCTCCTGCATTTTATGCTGGATTTGAGGCCAAACAAGGTGTGTCTGTGGCTGAGGAAGGTGCAAGGGTGCTCATCAAGAGAGATGCTGTATTTATTGAGATACTTGTACAACATTTCATGTCTGTGGGACAGATATTTACAGAGGGCACAGCTAAATAAGGGTGACTTGAAGTCCATTCTCTGAAGCACTTTGAAGTTTCCACTTTAAAATCAGTGGAGCAAATCAAAATAATGAACCAGGAAGGTTTGTGTCCAGAAATTCTAACAGAAATAGTATAATGTTCTCCCCCCCCCCCAAATTGCATCACCCTATTGTTAAACAAAACAAAACAGCACAGTTTTAGACCTTAAAAGGAAATGTACTGTGGGAAGTAGAGGCTATTCCAGTCTGAGATGCATTTAATCAGAATGATTGGTTGTATTAGCCTAATTTTAGGAAATAGTAATCAATTTTCCCTACTCAGGACAGGATTAGCATTCATTTTGCTTAATAGGGAATAGCCTGTCATGGGTAAGTAGTGCTTAATCAGGTATTAAATGTAAGGGAAGATGGAACCTCTGGACTTTCAGTGAGGAAGCTGCCAAATCAGGGTTAATTAGGAGAAGACTGAAAATTTAATGAACACTTGAAATCTTTATTTCTGTTCTCCCTATGGAACACTTATGTTTTAAGTGTTTGCAGAAGGTTCAGAAAGGCCTCTGAAAAGGGACACGCTCCTTGAGGACTGCATGATCACACAGGGTTTGTGGCCTTGGGAGCAACACAACTGTGTCAAGAGTTGAACATTTTGCTCTCCAAAAGATCCCAATTCAGACCTTCATGCCCTCTAGATTTTAAGATAATAAATATAAAGGTCTGACAACTCAACTGTGAGGGCTGACACCAGCTGTGGGTGGGTTTTAAAAGAGACTGCATAACTTGTTTGAAGTATATTCCTTTGCTCCAAGGCATCTGGGAGAGTTACCAGTGACTTCAGGAGGGGCTTGCAGGTGCTCAGTTAGGACTTGAACAAAGGCTGAATATCCTAGACTAGATTTAGTGCTCCCAGGTTGTATTTCCCATGGTAAAATCACTACCTGGCCCCCAGATTTGCTTATATCTTTTTTTTTTTTTCCCCTGTCAGCAAAGCAGCAAGTCAGGCTGTTGCATAATGTTGTAAGAGTTCTGGAAGGTCTTGGAAGAACAAGTAAATTTAAGCTGAGCTGTCAGAATTTTCCACGAGACAGTCAGCTTCCTGGTGTCGCCGTGTCTCCCTGGAGATCTCTATCACGGTGATTCTGTTAAGTCAGGGACAGAAAAGGAAATTATTTTGCATTGTTTACGATTCTCAGTCGGTTTGATATCTACCAGCTGTTCTCTCTTGCTGCCCCAGCCCTGGACCCCTGCTCTGCCTACATCAGCCTCAACGAGCCCTGGAGGAACACGGATCACCACATCAACGGCTCCCAGGGGCAGCCGACGTGCGACAGCCAGATCGACGGGGAGTGGTACCGCTTCACGGGCATGGCGGGCGACGCCATGCCCACCTTCTGCATCCCCGAGAACCACTGCGGCACCCACGCTCCCATCTGGATGAACGGCAGCCACCCGCGGGAGCAGGACGGCGTCGTCCAGCGCCAGGCCTGCGCCAGCTTCAACGGCAACTGCTGCCTCTGGAACACCACCATCGACGTCAAGGCCTGCCCGGGCGGCTACTACGTGTACCACCTCTCCAAGCCCAGCGTGTGCTTCCACGCCTACTGCGGCCGTAAGTAGCTCCCTTTTCCAAACCCCCTTCGTCCCCGGTGCCCGGCTTCGGGCTTTGCCACCCGTCAGGTGCGGGTGGTGGCCTGTCCGTGTGGGATCCATGAGGCGGTTCCACCCGCTGCGTTCCGCCGGGCTGACCCGGCCCGCGGTGATTTGGTGCTCTCTGTGGGCGCCGTGGTTTGTCTTGGCTCGCTGCCAAAGTCAAAATTTGCATCTCTGACGTGCAGTAATTAAAACAGATTGTTTCTCAGCAGCTTCAGCGGTTCGTCTTTCCCAACGTGGGCCAGGTCTGGAACTGCTGGGCTGCTCCCAGGGTGGGAAGCTGACAGGACAAATGTGGTTATTTTTGTTGCATGCTCAGCACTTTGTGCTGACAGTGTTCTTGTCATGCCCTAGATTTTTATGACATCTGTGATGTGGTGGATTGCCAGGGCCCCTGCCTGGACACCAGTGACTGCACCTGTTCCCCGGGGACAACACTAGGACCTGATGGACAGACATGCCTTGGTAAGGGTGGGAATAACCTGTGCTTTCTTTCCCTTTGTTTCATCACTCACTTCTCGACCCATTGCCTTACAAAGCAGTGCAAAACGTGAAGTATTCTAAGAGGAGTTTTCTCCCTTGCTGCCTAGAATAGGTCTGTGATTCTGTCAGTGATTCCAAGAGACATCCCACAACTGAATCCATTCTGGTGGCCCTGGAGCTCTGTGTGTACAGAGACTAGATTTGCTTTCTGAAGGCAGCAGCTGCACTGCCAGTAGCAGAGTCTCTTTGCAAGATCGTGGTACAGTCTCCCTGTGGTATTCAGAAAATGCTGTGCAGCCTGTCATTAGATGCTCTGTTGAATGCCTCTTTCCCTCAAAAAAAGAGTTTTGCTGGCTGGTGTAAGGCTGCACACTAAGCTCCACCATATTCCTGCCCTTTTGGGACATTGTCCGTGGCCTGGGCCTTGAGGAGAGCCAAAGGACAGTAAGTCCCATCACAGCTGCAGTGGTTTTAGGCAGCATGACAGGGGGATGTTCAGGGGGTTGGCATTTGGTGACAGAGACTGGCACGGCCAGAAGGGAGGTGGAGGGCTATAAGTGAGAGCAGAGGGGGAATGTGGGCTCTGGGGATTTGGAAGGGAATCCTCATGGACCTCCAAGGAGAGGATGGCTGTGGTCATGTGTGTGGTGCTGGGAGGAGAGCACCTGGACTGGGAGGTCAGGGAGAAGATGATCTGTGAGGGAAAGCAGGGGGCTGAGAAGGGGTGGCCCTTGGGGAGCTGCAGAACCATGCTGGTGGATAAGAAGAGGTGAGGTGGAGGGAGGAGGAAGGGGTGCCAGTGTATGGGGGAGGTGGGATCTCGTCTGTGTCTCTGTGGCCTGATTTGGTGGTGAAGCTGAAAGCAGGGTTGGTCCAGGAGGCTTTGTGGCAGATCAGCCTCTTCCATACCGACTACAGCTGACAAAGCAGGAGTGGGTGGTTTCTTCACACCCCTCGTGTCCGTGGGCATCGGGGTAGGGGCCACAGTCATCCCAGTCTGTGGAGAGAGCAGCCTGGCCCTGCTGCAGAGCTACTCTGGCTCACACTGATTCTGTGGAAGGGTTTTGCTTAAGCAGCTCCACATCTCTGCAGCCAGGTGGCTGACTTAGCTCTCTCAGGTAATTAAAAGCATTTATTGGCTGCTTCTGTTCAAGACTTGCAGTCACAGAAGTGCCCTTGACAAACACCAGCACTCAATAAAAGCGTGGCAGGCTCAGAGGAAAGGATTTCCTGCAGCAGGGAGGCTCGCAGGAGCCTGAGCCTGTCTGTGTGTGCTGCAGCTGCCTTCACCCCTCCATGGCCAGGCTGGGCAGGATTTCTGCACTGCTGCTTCTCCCTGGGATTCCCAGATGGCACAACAGCTCAGCTGGAATGATCACACTGGGTCACCAGCCTGCAGCCTCTCTTGTGTGGCTCACTCATCTCTCTAATGACTTTCTGTTGCGCTGAGTAATTGTGCAATCACATCTCTCAGAGCAGCTGTGCCAGCCTTCCAGAGAAACTAAATAAATCCCTGTTAGCCTTTCCTAAGTGGAGAATATGCTTCTTTTCCCAGCTCCTCCTAAAAAGGGGGGCTGATGATGCTGCAGTAATGCAGTAAAGAGGCTGTGGCTGCCCCATCAAGGGGCAGGTTGGATGGGGCTTGGAGCAACTGGGCTAGTGGAAGGTGTCCCTACCCATGGCAGGGTGCAATGAGATGGGCTTTAAGGACCCTTCCAACCCAAACCATTCCATGAATGTTAAACAGCTCTGTGCGCCTCCCTGTGCTTCTCAGTACATTACATGCTTTGAATCCCAGAGCAGAACTGCTGATCCTCAGTTACATTTTCATTTGCAAGCTCAGTGGTTAGGTAAGGTCTTGGACTTCTTGTCACACATCACCAACTCGGCGCATTGCCTTTGACCTCATGAATACTTGGCTCCATGTCCTACTAAGCCATGGATGAAATCAGCTCAGTGCTCTCCCAGTCCAGTCTCGAGACAACCAGAAGTGTCCCAGAAGTTGTCACTGGTGTGGAAGAGCAGGGACAGATCTGTGTGTTGTAGAACCTGAGGGACGGGCAAGGGGGATTGCTGGGTACAGCCCTTGACCACGACAAGCTCTAGGCCCTTCTAACATCACCTCTGTGCCTTTGCCAGTTAGCCCTTTCCCTCTTCACCTTCTGTTTTTAAGCAGCTTTATTTTTAGAAGGGAAAGCGTGGAACCTGTCACATGTGTGAAAAGCAGAGTGTCTGTGTGTCTCCTGGACATGCTTCTTGCCTCCCAAAGCAGAGTAGCAGCCAGTTCTTTGGCTAAAAATATTCAATTCACGTCGCTTGTGGAAGGAGACACCAGCACCAGCTGCAAGCTGTGGGCACTGTGAGTGTGTGGGACCACTGATACCTAAGAAAGCGCCTCTCTGACCTGTCTCTTAAAATGATATCTTGCTTTTTTTTCTTAATTTAAGCTTCTGACATCTAGTAAATGCCAGCTTCTAAGCTGTTTTGATAGAACCTTGACTGATAACCTCAGCATGCTGGCCTGCCTAAGAGAAATTGTTAGTTTTGTGGCTCAGCAATAGCAATGTCTGTCCCTTCCTCTGATTCACTTTTTGCACGCAGAGATGAAATCAGATTGAAGAACAAGAATCTCGGAGAAAAAGTACCTTTCAAAAAAAAAGTAAAGCAGACAGACACAGAGAAAGTTGAGCCTTTCAAACAGGATTAGCAGGAGTTTTCAGAGCTTTACCAAGAGATTCAAAAGCTGCTGTCAGAGGGATTACTCATTACATTCCAGAGTTCAAGAAGTGTTCGGACAGCACTCTCAGGGCACATGGTTGGGTTGTCCTGTGCAGGGCCTGGAGCTGGACTTGACAATCCCTGTGGGTCCCTTCCAGTTCAAGATGTCCTGTGATATGATCTCTACTGCCCTGATCCCGTTCAGGAGGCCAGGAAAGCCAGTCTGAGCAGTGCTCCCACGTGCCAGCTGTGTGTTTACTGAGGGCACGTTCTGACGGTGGTTTGGGGTGTTTTTTTTCAGATGAAAATGAGTGTGAGCAGAACAACGGCGGCTGCAGCGAGTTCTGTGTGAACCTGAAGAACTCCTACCGCTGCGAGTGCGGGGTCGGGCGCACGCTGGGCAGCGATGGCAGAACCTGTGAAGGTGAGGCTTCAGCTGCCACAGGGACAGCATGAATCATTCCCTCTCCCTTGCAGCACTGCTTCTCTCCTGGCTCCTTGCAGCTGGGATTAAATGTCACTCATATCACCTCTGTGCTTGCCAGTGGGGTTGTTCCCAAAATATCCTTCTAAGCAAGCGAAGTCTCCTTGTTGTTCTCCCTGCCTCATTCACTTGTGTTTATCTCCACGGGGAAAGGCAGTGGTGGATCTGGAAGACTGGTTGTCCACACGGAACTGGTTATTGCTGGAGTTGCTGGGATTTGGCTCTGGAGATTTGGGGGGTGGGGGGGGGGCAGATTTAGCATTGCTGGGTTTTGGCAGCTGACCCTAGGTATGGGGTAATGTCATGACATTAGAGTAGAGCATGAGGATCACTTTAGCCTCCTGGGGCAGAGACTGAGGAGAGGGGTGCCAGCATGTGAACAGAAGCTAGATTTGAGATTTGGGCTGCATTTGGGCTGTTTAGTGTCTGTGAGTGGTTAGCTGTGGGCTCAGCTGCTACAGCTCCTTCCCAGGGGTGGCACAGCCAGGCTGAAAACCCTTGATGAGTTTAGACTGGTGGCTTAAAGACCAAATGGTAGGTTTGATCTGTTGTCACTAACAGTGTACAGACATCTCTGGGGCAGAAATAGGCAAACCCAGCAAAAATAGACTTGTGCCTGATGTTTTCTGTGATGAGCTGTGAAGAGCTCTGTGCCCCCTCCAAAGCAAAGCTGCTGTGTGGTGTGTTCACAGATACTGTGGGGCCTCAGACAAGAAAAAGAGCTGCAGATGTGCCTCACTTTTCAGCTACCCAAAAGAGCTCAGTCTGCTCCCTGAACTGTGTTAGCAAAACATCACTCATGCAGGCAGTGACACTGCCCTGGGGAATGCTGTGCAGAGAGCTCCTAAAGTCCTTGTCACATCATGTGGGGCCAAAAATGGTCTGTGAGCTTTGTCCTTTCCACATCCAGCTCTGAGCTGGTAGGGGGTCACGTAAACCAGCTGTGCAGTTTTTATTCCTGACACTCTTCTGACAGGGCTGGAATAGTCTGTCTGGAAACTTGTTTGTTTGTGCTGTTCCCAATGTTGGCTTTTAGGGCCTTTGATATATCATTTAATTTCCCCTTCTGTAAGAAGGATGGTGCTTTTCACGAGTTTAACACTGCTGCTGGGGATTTTTAGAGTCTTGTTAGTGAGTTTTATTTCTAAAGATGTGCCCTCAGCTTTGTGAGCCCTTAGAGGATCTGGTTTACTTGTGAGCCACCTCACAGCTGTCGCTGAAAAGAACAAATGCAAGAGATTTAGTTTGATTACACGAGCTGCTGAGGCTGAGCAGGGTTAAAAGTACCATATTCCATTATGATGCTATACCCATTACTTTGACTCATATGGAGTGTTCAGGCTCTTGTTTTCCATGCACTGTGTAGGGGTCAGTGTGGGATTTCCATTCTTTTCTTTACATTTCAGTGAAAACCACACAGTCATTTCTGATGGCAGTCTTGAGAAGAAATGTTTTGTATTTATGATTTGTTTATCTTGTACTATTGTTTCAGTGAGAACAGTAGTACTCATCTAGCATACTCATCCCAAAGGGTTAAAAAAAATCAAGCAGTGAAGATTATTTCCAAAAAAATCATGACCCTGTTATTTTCTTTATAATAGGAAGCCAACAAGAGCTGGAAATGGCTTTAGTTTCCTTAGGTTTTCAAATGTTCAGAATGTATCTGGATAACGTTTCTGGCTCTTTTCTGTAGCTGTAGTAGCCAGGAATATGTTTTACACAAAAACTCAGGTCCTCAGAGAGTTGCCTCACCTGAATAGATAAGATGTAAGACATGACATATCCTCCAATTATCTGTGCTACCCTCTCTCCTCTGCTCTTGACAATGGGGGAAAATTAGGAAGGGAATGAACTTTACACCGTGAACTCGTGTCATTCCATCCCTGAGCCAACCTCAAAGCCTTAGAACTCCCAAACCAGCCGAATTCCTGCTAAAGAAACTCCTACGAGCAGAGTTTCATCCTCACCCTACAGAGGGGTTGAAGGAACCTGGTGCAGCCACCCCCCTCACAGCTGGGAAACCCAGGGGGAATGAGCACAGCATCTTTTCTCTGGTGTTCCCTGCTGGAAATAGGAGCTGGCTCCCTGCAGGGCTGTCCTCCCCAGGGCAGCTCCCCTGCAGAGCTCAGGGCTGTCATTCTGCTGGTGATGAAGGGAGGGAGTGGGGTAGAACTTTTAAGAGGATTTTCCTCCCACCTTTTTGAAGTAAGAAACAACATAAAAATTTAGTTTAAAAGGATATCTCAAGAGAGACAAACAGCAAGGGCATGTAGTGACAGGACAAGGGGGAATGGTTTTAAACTGACAGAGGGCAGGTTTAGATGGGATATTGGGAAGAAATTCTTCCCTGTGAGGGTGGTGAGGGCCTGGCACAGGTTGTCCTGAGAAGTCGTGGCTGCTCCATCCCTGGAAGTGTCCAAGGCCAGGCTGGATAGAGCTTGGAGCAACCTGGGATAGTGGAAGGTGTGGAACAAAATGGTCTTTAAGGTCCCGTCTTACCCAGGCCATTCTATGATCCTTAAAGGGCCAAGGTGCAGATTGCCTACTCAGTGGGATTTAATTTGCTAAGCTTTTTCACAGAATTCCTTGTTAACCTCATGGTGAAATGACAAACAGAAGAAACTGTACAATTAAAAAGAGGGTTTCCACTGCATTATCTTGGAAGCAAGCTCTGCCCATGCTGCTGCCTTGGAGCTGTGTTGGCCATAGTCTGTGCTGGTCAGGGGTACATTGGGGCCCTCAGGGTGTGCTGACTTTCCTTTCTCTCCCAGAAATCGAAGGCTGTCACAACAACAACGGAGGCTGCAGCCATACCTGTATTGAAGTGGAAGACACCTACCAGTGTGAATGTCCAAGGGGACTTGTTCTATCAGAAGACAACCACACTTGCCAAGGTAGGTCAACAAAATCTCCCCAGCAGTCTCTGTCCCCCAGAAGTATGTCTGAAGGAACTTTTCTTCTTGGTTTTGTTGTCTTCTCTTAGTCTGTCCTCTCCAGTTTGATTAGTGGAGCTTTGTCATTAATGACAGATCATCCAGAACTGAGAGCCTGAAGGCATTACTCTTTTAACCAGGCAGGAGAACAGCCACAGGGCCCTCCTGGGTGCCTCTTGCATCACAGGTGGTTTTGGCAGAGTTCACTTACAATTAAGATTGCATAATATCTCCTGTTGTACTGCTCTGCTTCAGCTCTGTGTGCCTCTGACAAACTGATGCTGTAGAACTGACATTTTCCATGCTTCAAACTTGAAAATTTCAGCTCAAGTGGTTCAGCCACTTCCAACGATGGGGTTAAAGAGAGAGGCATGTTTTCTCCGAGTATCTCAGTAGCCATTCCAGTGAGCATTCCTTGAAGCAGGGCACTAGCTTTGATACAGGGTGTTCCTGCTGTCCCTTGGAAAAGTGCCTGGGATACATCCTTGCATAGAGGCAAGGACAGCATTATCCTTGGAAAACCTTCCATGTGAACTTTACACAGGGAGCCTTCCTGCTGACTCGCTCGCACCTATGGCAGGTACATGGAATGAACAGGTTCCATGTTTTGGGATGGGATTTCCTTTACAAATACATCCCAAGCTACCAGGAGTCTGGTGTCTCCTGGTGTGCTCAGAGAACCTCTTGCAGTCTGATGTGTCACAGAGTGCCCAGACACCAGCTGGAGGGGCAGATCCAGACTTCACAGGGGCCAGCAGGGCAGGTGTGCCTCAGAGAGGAACTTGGAATGGTCCTGCTTGATGGAATTTCTGCTTTTTTGAAGCCTTTTGGAAGTGCAGGGTTCCCAAGGGTGAGCACTGCACACTTGGGATCTCACAGTGCTGCTGGGGGAGGTGGAGGTGGCATTTCCAAGAGCTGTGACTACATTCACTGACTGAAGGTCTGATGGATGGACACAGAGCAATGATTTTCAGTCCTGGCTCTCTGAGGCAACCCCGGCAGGGTTGGGAGCCCTGGATTTCCCAGCCAATGTTTCTCCTGCTTGTGAGGCTGCTTACTGAGAGCAGCAGCACTGCCGGGGCCGGGCAGGGCTGGGGGTGCAGCATCTCATGGAGTGGAATTGCTTGTTCCTCTGCATGTCATGGATTTATGTCCCTGTGCACTGGTCTGCAGTTCTGAGCAGATATGGAGCTGTACCACACAAGTTTTTATGAGATCTAATCAGGTTTATATTGGTTCAATTAGCACTGCAGGGCGGGCACAGTTGCCTGAAGCAATTGGCTCTGCAGCCTCTCCACCCTCCCCTGCACTGTCTCTGCGTTCAGAACAAACATTAATAATCTTCCACAGAAACCACAGTCTTGGCTACAATTTTTCCACAAAGATACCAGCCAGCAAAACACTTGGAATTTTGCAGCCCATCCTAGTACCCCACATCTTTCTGAAGTGCAGGGGGAAATGCTTTTCCTCCCCCTTCCTCTGCCCAAGCCTTTTGTGCCTGTAGGCAGGGTACAACACTGTAAGTGGTGCATAGCAGTGGGTCAGGGAATCTGTTCTGCTGGGCAGCCTGTGCAGAAGGATAACCTCTGCTCCAAGCAGCTGCACTTTGGAAGGCTGAGGAAGGAACCAGAGGCTGGAACATGGTGCCAACAACAGCAGACAGCAAAAATAAGCATTGGGTTCACCACAGAAGCTTCCTACCAGGGTCAAGTGTTGGTGCAAAGCAGAGTTTAAAGTGGAAATGAGGAGGCTTTCCCAGTACTCACAGGTGATCTGTGGTGTATGAGGGTGAAGAACTGAAATGTTTGATTGGCACAGCCTGGATGAGGCTCTCAGGAGCAGGACATGGATGGTGACAGCAAGTCAGGAGGGTGCAGAGCTGGCATCAGCTCTCTGAACGGATGCCAGAGGTTGGGAATAAAAGTGGGCTCCTTGGCATCAGGATAACTCATTTCTGCTGGGCATCTCAGTCCTGGCAGTCGGGATCTCACTGCTTACCCTGGAATAACATGTCTGCACACCTTGTCATCTCCTTTGCAGCTCCCCTGTCCTGGGGGAAGGGGGTCTGCTCAGAGCTGAACCCCGCTGAGGCACCGGCTCTGCTCACAACACCACTGACAGATTGGTAGAACTGAAACACTGCTCTCAGCACTGGTTACTCTTCCTTGGACAAATGTCTGGGGTGGTTTGAATTGCCTTACCAGCTCCTCTGACATGGTCAATATGAGGAGTTTCCCCCAGTGTTTTCCCAGAGAGCCAGGATTTGTCTTGATTCACCAGTGGATCTGCCTGCAGGTTTCCTTCACTTGTTTCTGTGTGTGCACACAGGTCCTGCAGTGCCAGAGCATGGGGGCAGTGGGGTCTTCTTTCTCCTCCTTTGTGCCAATCAAAGACATGCAGAAACAGAGATATCCTTAACCAAACTGGTCCTGAACTTAGGAAAATTGCAGCTGGGGTACGAACTGTCTTGCCCTGAACTTCACCTTTATAAAATAAAAGCATGACATTTTCTTATTTATCAAGGAGTCACTAGGACAGTGAGGCTTTATATCCAGATTGAGCCCATCAGTTCTCTGAAGGATGTTCCTCTGTTGTGCATTGTGCTGTGTTCCAAAGTCTCTTTGTCTCCTCCTGAGCTTTTTCATCCGACGTGCTCCGTTATTCCCACCTGCCGATGGAGGGGAAGTTAAGGTAGTTGTTAGTTCTTTAAGCTTCTGTTCTAACCCAACAATGTCATTATGGGAACATATTGCTGTGGGCACTCTGCATACATTTTAGCATATCACCTTGAAAAGATCAAGTTTTTATTAGAAGTCCTCCCTTCAGGTGTAGAGGCTGTTACAAATACCTTGGCTGGAACAGGAGAATTTTTTTAAGGGGAGTAAAAGGCATGTCTTAGCAGTGTGCCTTGTATCCAAGATCCAGAATCCTAAATTATGTAATTAATGACCAAAGTTAAGGGAAAACAGGTCATATGAATGTCTAGGACTGAGACTGTAATTTTGGCAAAAAGCTTGGGTAGCTAGTAGATTTGCAAAAAGTTTTGTCGTGGGATTTTAAAATATAATAAAGGGAAATACTGCAAGGGGATTGTTTTTCTGGCACCAGTACACTTGTCCTGTCTCCCAAGGAATATACATATAGCAATTACTTTTTTATTGAAGATTATTCTCTCTTCTTTCCTTTTTCCTTTTGCCCAAGCTGTGTGTTTTCTGCCGCTTCTTATGTAATGGAATGGTAATTTAAAAAAATTCACATGGAGATCTGTATTAAAAATTCAGAGGTTGGAAGGAGGTGGGAATGAGTGAGATAATTGGGTTTGTTTGTCAGAGCTGGGTTTATTGCTTATAAAAATATTATTATGGCATTTTGAGGTGCTTCCATCTTAGCTCGGTATCTATATGGAATTACTCTGCCTTGTTTTGATGTGTTCTGGATTTGATGTAAAATCTGATTAAGGGTCTTAAAAAATGGCTTTGCCTGGGGTGTTGTGAATTTGATATCCATATCTGGCAAAGGCTCTTCCCAGGACATAGATAGCAGTGCAAGAGATATCAATCAAACCTGTGCTGAGTATTAAGTAAAGCTGGAAATGCTGCACAGCCAAGTTTCTGCTTCAAGTGCAGTGATTGTCTTCATTGTCTTCTGAGGCCTCGCTGTGGCTGGAGAATTTGGGGCCGTGGTAGTTCAGGTTTGTGTCATGTAGGTAGGAATGCAAGACAGGCAGTTCCTGTGGGGAGATAGTAATGATAAATGCTGCACAGGATTCCCCTTTTTTCCCAATAATACCTGGTACAGCCCTTCCCCAGCTCTCTGGTAGCTTTGTAGTGCAGACTGTTATTATGGAGACTTTTCTTGCAGTTCCAGTGCTGTGCAAGTCGAGTTCTATCGAGGTGAACATCCCAAAGGACCTGGTTGGAGGCCTGGACCTTTCCCTCATCAACACTTCGTGCAAAGGCGTCTCCAACGGCACTCACGTCAACATCCATTTCTCCCTGAAGTCCTGTGGTACTGTTGTAGATGTATGTACTGTACCTACTGCCCTGGCTCTTGGGATCTCTGCATTTGGGGACTTGGCTGTGGCTTCCTTGGGGAATAGGGTTGGTTTAGCTGTACTGTCAGAGCAGTTTCCTGTGTTGCCGTGCAGCTGGTCTCTGAGTAGACCCGGGCTGACATCCCAAAGTAGGAGAGCTTGTTCCACCTCCCCTCCAGTGGTGTGTCTGTCAGCGTGGGTGCTGCTTTCTGCTCACCTGGTGCGTCACAGAGGGAGCTTCACTGTCACACCAGCACAAGTGCTGTCACTCCTCACCCTCCTGTTGAGACAGATTCTGGTCTCCTCTTCCAAAAATTAAACTGGCAGCTGGTCAGGAGCCACAGAGCCCATCTTAGCAGATGGGTGGCACTGGAAGCCAATTCCTCAGCTTGCTGCAGGAGTGCAGTGCATCACAGCCAACAGCAAACTGAGCCCTTGGTTGGTAAGTGAGGGTGAACATCATTCTGGTTGCAGCGTATAAATTCACAAAGCTGTGCCTTCCGTGGCTACTCTGGGTGTCCTGAACAAAGTCAACCCAGAGAGGTCCTTCTCAGTGATCTCCCCTTTCCCTTCAACACCCCTCTTTGCTGCAGGTAATAGATGACAAGATCATTGCCACCAACCTGGTGACTGGCCTGCCGAAGCAGACCCCGGGCAGCAATGGGGACATCATCGTGCGCACCAGCAAGCTGCTGATCCCGGTGACCTGCGAGTTCCCGCGCCGCTACACCATCTCCGAGGCCTACGTGCCCAACCTCAAGAACTCGCCCCTGGAGATCATGAGCCGCAACCAGGGCATCTTCCCTTTCACCCTGGAGATCTTCAAAGACAAAGACTTTGATGAACCCTACAGGGGGGCTCCTCCCACCCTCAGGCTTCGGGACTCGCTGTACTTTGGGATTGAGCCCTTGGTGCACGTCAGTGGACTAGAGACACTTGTAGAGAGCTGCTTCGCCACTCCCACCTCCAAAATTGATGAGATCCTCAAGTACTACCTGATTCAAGATGGGTGAGTTCACTGTTCCCTCTCTTGCTGGCTGTTGGATGGGAATTGGCAGTGGGGCTGAGTTGTCTTGTCTGTGTGAGGCAGGAAACACTATCCCTTCTCCACAGCAGTGGTCCCAGCAATCACCAGCAGCCATCAAGCTGAAAACACCTGTTCCATCAAAAGTAATTGGGAGAAACTGTGGGAGACAGTGAAAGAGGTTACTCCGAGTGCAGCCTTTACAGGCCATATTTCCCTGCAACTAGCCTTGTGGATAATTGAGTTGGCTCCTGTAGAAAAGATTCTCTTTACTGATATCCTCTCCCTGCCAGCCACAGACTGCCAAACCAATGGGCAGAACCCCCTGATGGCCATGTGCTGCTGCCAGGCAGCTGCTGCAGCAACTGGAGCAAGTTTCTTAATTTTCTCATAATGGCCTTCTTGCAGCATGAGCCAGAAGACTACATGGCTGATCCTAGCTGAAGCTCCAGGAGCATCCCTCTCTCTGATGTCAGTGCAGCAAACTTAGGGTCCCTCAGATTGGCTGTAATTTTCTGGGGGTTAGTGATCTTTGCAGGATATGCTAAAAACAATTCTGTGTGGATCTGTGGGTTCTCTGTAGTGAGTTTTGCATCAGAGGTTTGGGGAGCACTGCTGGGGGCTCAGCTGTGGCTCCTAAGATGATCCCTGTTTTCAGACACTTCTCTGGGTGCCAAAATGACTGTGCCAGGCTACAGCATTGCTGTGGAGTGTTTGCATGTAGGACCTTAACCAGACAATGCTGTGGAAATGTCACAGTCTGCTGTTCCTCTAGGGAGGGAAGTTCAGTCCAGGGAATATCTAAGGCATACCCACAGTGTTGTAGCCTGGCAGTCAAGATACTGTGCTTGTGTAAGCCCTGTGTGTTGTCTGCCAGACCATCTAATGAGGACAACAATTATTTCCTCAACTGCCCAGGCTAAATCACCCACCCTGGTGATGACAAGTCCTGTGTCGTTTTCTCACAGCAAAAGGGTCCTGCAGTGTAAAGTACCCAGAAATTCTCTTCATCTCCCAATGAAGGATTCAGCTCTCCTTCCATCCTAGGCTGCAGTCCTTCTGTGCCTGACATTTCTGGGCTTTATGAGCAGATTTGTAATGGGAGAATTGATTTTATTGACTCCCCACCTTGGCTCTTCCTGTGGACCCTTCACAGAGTCAAGGCTCCAAACATTCATTAATTTCTCCTCGTGAGCGATGGGATTCAAAACAGCAAACAAAACCTGAGCCAGATGGAGAAGGGAGAAGGCAGCAAATGTCATGCCTTAAATTCACCCCAGCACTAGCTGGAGGATTTACAGCACCGGCAGCCCCTTGGTACCTGCAGAGGGCATTGAAACTTCACCGAAGGGAAAAGTGGGCTGGAGCCTCATCCAGCCTGCTCCTCTCTCCAGCCTCACTGCAGGCCCCAGTGTCCCCAGACTCACCACCCCCGTGGGCTGGGCTGCAGTTAAACTGCTCACTAATGATGTGCTATCGAACTAACTGGGGTTCTTTGTCTCTCTCTGTGCTTGCAGCGATTCAAAAGTAAAATTAGCTGAATAAATACTCTGCTGAGTTGTCCCTGCTCCAGACAGTTCTGTAATAACCCAGTTTCCTTCCAGCAACCCAGCCCCAAAAGCCCATGGCAATAAAGATGGGATTTTTAAATCAGTTCGATTATGTAGGATCAGACCTGCAGGAGTTAACTGCAGCTTCCAGAGGGGAACACTGTTCAAATTTGAAGGGATTTACCTTGGACTTAGAGATGGGGAAATTCTCTCTACTGCTTTCTTCCCTGCCTTCTCCAGTCAGCAAGAGGTGGGAGCCACCTTCTGTGGGACTCCAGCCTTCTCCCCGTGCTGATGTGACCACTGGAAACCAGGATTTTTCCAGATCCCTCCCCTGTAGTACCCTGCACTGCTGCTAGCCCAGCCAACCCCAGAGCAGCTCTCCTGCTTCTGATCTGTTCTTCCTCTCTCTGAAAGCAGAATGCAGCCAAAGGCACTGACCAAAGGCCCAGGTGATCAGTGTTGAAGCTCTCTGGGGCACCCCGAGCGAGGTCGTGTCACGCAGGGCAGTGTGCTGGGGTCAGGAGCTGTGCTTTAGCTGAGCACCACGGAGTGAAGGGAGTTCCACTGCAAGGCTCACCTCGGTTACACCTCGGGCTGCCCCTCATTTGTCGGCTGAGGTGGATATTTTATTCTCCAAGCCCTCCTTTCTACCTTAGAACCCCCCAGTAAATGGGTCAGAGCACAGCTCCCGTGGCACTGCCAGCCTGCTTCCTGAACTTAAAGCACAGTATGCATAGAAAAGCATTATTTTCCCTGTATCCTGACCAGGCTCACCCATTTTCCTTCCTTACCTGTGCTCCCTGTCCTTCCCTACCTCTCCAAGGTGGGAGACGGGGTCTGGGAGTTTCCTAGGAAAGTGGATTAGAGTATGGCCCCACACAAAATGCAAAAGGGTTTGTCCCCATGACTCAGGAGGTTTCTGAGCTGGTTTTGTCCATATATCCCTGATTCTTCCTTGATGTTCTCCCATCTCCCTAACCCCAAACCAGTACTTTTCCTGCCACCAGTGTGGCAAACCTTTGGAGAACTTGAGGTTTAGGAGTCAGTTTGAGCCAGTGTCCACGAATCATCACAGCTGATGTGCTCACAAATGAGGACAGCCCTACAAGTTGAGTTCACAGCCCAAAGCTTGGCCAGTCACCCATGAGAAGTCTTTAACTGTCATTCCTTACAATCAGATGCCTTCAGGAATACTACTTTTAACAGCAGTTTTATCCTAAACAACTGAGTGTGTTTGGCCTCTGGGGGGAGGAATCTGTCTGGTTTTGTAGATGCACAGTGGTGATTTATCAGCTCCCTGGGGATGGGTTTTGTGTTTGCCTCCAGGGAAGTGCTGCAGACAGGGATATCCCTTCAGGCCATGGAGAAATAGTGATGAAAATAATGCTGGGATCAGAGCAGTGCCCAGTGCTCCCAGGAGCATGTGCTGCTCTCCTGTACGGAGAGCATGATCATATATTGCTAGTGATGGAAAAATTGAAATTATTAATTTAATGCAGTGAATTTGAGCTGTCTGACCAAGTCCAGCAGGAAGAAATATGTAAATGATACGAAGCAAAGCAAATCTGTTTTTTTTTTTGCTTTCATCATCTGTGATATTTTAGTAATGTGTGTACAGGCTTCATTTTAAGCATAATTTATGTGCATATATATGTGTACACAGAAAGTACATAACACATTCAACAGTGTATAACACTGCAGACTGTTGCACAGGAAGGTGAAACGAGGACAGACTTGCCTGCAGCTCTCTGGCAGTCCCTCTCTGAGGGGACTGGCCCACGTCCTGCCAGCTCTCTGCTGCTGAGCTGTCCTTTGTCTGGAGATGCTATTAGCATTGCTGTTGTTTTCCCCCATCATTCTGAATTTTCTCCTGTGGCCAAAGAGGAAGTAGCAGGGATGGTAGCTTAGCTTGAGAGAGCCAAGCCCTCCTTTCCTTTCTCTGGTTAAGGAGGCTGGAATGTCTTTTTCCACTTCTGGGAAAGCTATTAAAAGCCTGTCCCTCTGCTTCCCTCAGCTGCGTGTCCGATGACTCCGTGAAGCAGTACACGTCAAAGGACCATCTTGCCAAGCATTTCCAGGTTCCTGTGTTCAAGTTTGTGGGCAAAGACAACAGGGTAAGCTCAAAACTCAGCTCTCAGGTGATTGCATCAGCTCTGATCTGACCAAGGAATCTCAGCACCAGGGTGGCTGTGTGAGAGTGCAAAGGGGAGGAATGGCTGGCCCAAGGCAGGTGCTGCTGGGCTTGTTCCAGCAGTTGTGTCTTTCAGGAGCCTGACACAGGTGCTTTGGGACAGACTCATAAAGATAACTAAAATTAGGTTGTGGAACATCAATGCCATAGCAGGCTAAAATCATTGTTGTGTCCAAGGTGGTCTTAGTGGACCCCCGTATGCTGGGCGAGAAGGTGTTCCCAGTCACCAGGCACATTTTGCAGTGTCCTGTCTTCAAAACAGGACAGTCTGTAGTTTGGAATCTCTTCAACCTAGTGTCTTCTCTAGCTCTTGGGAGTACAGATGCCGGGATTCCAGATGCAAGGTCACCATCCTGTTCAGTTCAGTGTGAAACCCGGCCGTCCAGGCCAGTGGCACTCTGGGGCAGAAGCTCAGTAGTGAGAGGGCAGTTGAAGGATAATCCCATTTCCCTAATGCAAAGAGCTTTCCTTTTCTGTGCTGGAATAAACTGGGTCTTCCAGTCATTGTTATGCTCAGCCAACACTGCCTACTCCACAAGGTATAAAGCTGCTGCTCCAGCTACCAGAGAGCCCCATCAGGGTTAAAACAAACGAGATCTTCCAAAATTCAGGAATTTTTCTTGGCTGTCTGATTACCACTGCTGTCTCCACCCTGCATCCTACCAGTCTGAGCCATGGATTCTGCTTCAAACTACACCATTGATCATGTATTTGTGACTGCTGCTTGCAGGGATCTTGCTGCTTCTCCTTGTCATTTATAGGGCAGGGAGCAGCAACCCTGTCACTGCCTTTGCTGTGCAGGATAACAAGGCAGCTGTCTCTCTGCTCTTTGCATTCTCCTCCTTCCCTCAGCCCCTCATCACCCAGTGTTTTCCTCCTTTTCCCCTCAGATTCTTAGCTTTATGTTTTCTCAGCCCACTTCAAATCCTCTTGCATTTTCTCTCAGCCCATCTCTGTGTGAGGCTTCACGTGTTCTTGACCTGCTCCCTGCCATGCAGCTCCTGCCAGTCCATGCAAGTTCTTCCAGGCTTATTCCTGGCGTTTTCATCCCTTCTTCTGGAGGATCATTTCACGCCTTCCTATCCCCTGTGTGTGCACCCTTGGCTCACAGACAGATGCTCCGAGATCTCAGCCGGGCACCACCAGAGCGGCCGGTTTGGCTGCGGGTGGTGATGGTGGATACAGACCCTGCCGGTGCAGGGACAGAAGTGACTGTGCCATGGCAGTGGTGTGGCTCGTGCTGTGCCAGCAGTGCCAGCCATTCCCAGAGCACTGACCCCGTCCTGCTGTGTCCCCACCCCCAGGAGGTGTTCCTGCACTGCCGCATCCTGGTGTGCGGGGCCCTGGACGAGACCTCCCGCTGCGCCCAGGGCTGCCGGAGACGTGCACGCAGGGCGGCCGAGGAGGAGGAGGAGAAGGGATCTGTTCATGTGGCAGAGGAGGAGAAGGGATCTGTTCGTGTGGCAGAGGAGGAGAAGGGATCTGTTCATGTGGCAAACCACGTCCTGACAGGGGGCCCCATCAGAATCGACTTTGACGACTGACACCCACCCTCTGGAACAGCATCTCCGCCTGAGACCGGCCTTCCTTATCAGTGCCTTCCTTATCAGTGCCTTCTGCCATGGCTGTTTGAGAAACAAGAGGTATTTGGCAAAGCCCCACTTGCACCTCAGGACTCATTTCCCTAACCCTGTGATGATTATTTGTGAGTGTTTTGGACACCCGGACTGCAGAATGGTTTGGTTTTACCTGCATTTCTTCCCAGCTGGGACCCTTTGGCTGGAGGGACCCTGTTGCTTTGCAGGCCTGAAGCGTTTCCCAGCTTTGTCTTTCCCTACATCCACCTACAGGCTCCAGGACTGTTCGTCCTTGGCTAAACAAATGTTATCCAAGGCCTTCTTGCATCAGACAGTACAAATAGTATCGTAGCTGAACATGTTTGCTGTGCAGTTCTGTGAGCGATGCTGAAGCTTCTGGGTGACTGTTAATAAAAACAAGCATAAAATATTCTATCTCATCATTTGTTAATTCCCTGGAGCTGTACAATTGTCATTACAGGCAGCGAAAGCTCAGCTCTATCACAGGCACATTTAAATGTTATTTTAAAGAGTGAAAGGTATTTAATAAGATTTGATTTTTTAGTGTCTTTTGATAATTGCATGCAGTTTAATAGTGTTTCCGCCTATATTTAGTGTATCATTATTTTTCTCCCTCTTCTCCCACCACCAAAAATGCCTTTGCTAAGTGCTCTGGCACCTTGATTGTAAGAGAAGCACCATTAAACATCTCTGAACACCCCCCTCCCAGGCGTGCTGCTACCAAGTGTTTGTTTGGAACTTGTGATGCTTGGCCCGTTAGAGAGACTGTGGCTCCAACAAAGAGATTAGAGGAATGCACAGTAATTATTTACAGCTATCACTTGTAATGTGGGCAGTTCTCAGGACAGGGCTGTCCCCTGGTGACAGGAGACACCAGGCAGCCTTGTTCAAGTGACTGTGGCTGGAGACACAAGGACTGGTGGTTGTCAGGAATCTCTTGGGGCTGTCAAGCTCCTTCCAAAGAAAACATAACGGATGATCAGCTCAGTCTCCTCTGGGCTTCATTCAGGAGCGGGAGCGCTGTGAGGTGAAGGATTGGGGATGTGGGGTGAAAGGAAGGAGGCCCAGTGAGCAGTGAAGGACAAGGGAGAGGCAGGAACGAGGATGAGAGAGGAAGGATCCGTCTCCAACACTATCTGTGGCACTGCAGTGCGTTCCTGAGGTTTTCTGCAAGAGGCTTCTCCATGTGCAGCTCCATCCTGCGTGTCTGGAGGTCTGCTGGAAGGCCCCTATCCTTCATTACCTGTGTTCTGCTTTGGTTGAAGGCAGCCAAATTACTGCAAAAAAGATTTGTTGCTGCTTTCAAATGGATGGGGAGCCTGTTTGAAGGGATCATTTAGAAGGGAGTCACAAATTACCTCAGCAATATTCCATTTCACAGATTTATTTGTTCTGGCAAGTGAGATTCCAGTGAGGAATGGGCATTTAATGGGCTGAGAGTTTCATGACTTTTCTAAATGGCTTCATGGCTGCTTTTCCAATCTGGGAATATGTGTGTATGTTAGAGTAAATCATCATTTCTGTGATGATAAGTAGGTATAAGTGGAAAGACACTGTTCCTGTGTTATCTAGCCATATGTGAAAGAAAAAGAGAGGAAAAAGCCTCCTCCTAGGATTGCTGTTCTGCTGATTCACATCTGCATTAGGACCACACGGGTAGTTTCTTCCTGTCACTTCTTTGTTCAGGCAGCCCTTGCTATATGTACTTGTTTTGATAAAACAAGTGCTGGGAAATTAACCTAATGATCTGGGGCCTTCTGGAGAGGGAACTGGTGGTGTTTGTTCATGTGAAAGGGATGTGGGGGAGTGATGGAGGGAGAGGTTTCTTTCCTGGCTTATTTCAGTTATTGTGCACGTTATTTAGCTCTTCCTGGCAAGTTCATGTGAAGCAGCTTTTCTGCTCTGCAGCTCTTTAGCTAAGAAATCCAGATTGGGGTACCCAAGGTATCTATGGCTTGGAATATCCAGGTATAAACACCTATTTACCTGAGGTCCTAGTCCCTGTTTTTATGCCCCCAGTGGAAACAGAGATTGCTGTCTGTGGAGGGCCCATTGGCTGAATGGCTTGAAGTCAGCAGGAGGTGAAAAATAATCCTGCCAAGACACGAAGTCCACGAGAAGCCATGGGGTGAGCACAGTGTCATCTTCCTGTCGAGAGCAGAGTGGGAGTGAAGGTGACCCAAGGTTTGTGCATTGACCTGGAGAATCCTGTGATCAGCTGCTCCCAGGGCCGTACACCACTGGATAGCAGTGTGGAGGGGAAGCAATTTTTGGTTTTAATGCAGTTTTACTGGAGTTCATGCACTGGTTTTCTCCTGCATGGGATTATCTGATGGTTTTCTCAAGTCGCTGCCTCCGCTTGGAGGTTCAAAAATTTCCTTGTAGAGCTGCTCGTGGGGTTTTGCAAATTACCAGAGGGGAAAAGGCACTTATTCAGCAGCTGGCCTGCATGCAGCAGGCTCTAGGGTTTGGGGGTGAATGGTGGTCTGAAACATGAAGAAATTATGATTTCTGTTAGTGGTGTCTCCGACGCATCAGTGTCTGCACAGAGAGGTTCTGTTCAGAACCCTTTGATTTCTCCAGTGTATGTCACCACCTGCCAGCAGTTGCTTGCCTTTACTCTGATATCCTTTGAACTGTAAAATATTTGAAGACATTTGCCAGCCAGTTGGCTGTTGAGTGTAGACAATGTAGACGCTTTAATTTCTTTGTCATTTAATCATAAGAGTATGTTCACATTTAAACAGGCAACAGGCACCATTTCACCAACAAAATGCGAAGTTGGGGAAGTGTCTGGAATGAGGGACGTTTCCTTCCCATCCCTGGGCAAAAGCATGTGTTTCTTAGATGGATAATCAAGGCTGTCTGTCCAGACAGACACACACAGCAATGTTCCTCTCCAGTGGCATTAGCCCAGCTGGGAAAGGATGTCATTGCCTCTGAGCAGTGTAAATTAAGGTCCTCCATAATGGAAAACACCCCATGCAGTCACTGCCATTTTCCTGGTCTGGGTACCAGTGGGCTCTTGTTGTCTCAGCCTGTTTGGGGCCAGTTGAACATCTCATTGCTGTTCTCTGGGAAGCAAAGGCGACCGGTGAGAACAGAAATACGGAGCTTAATTAATTTATAGCTCCGTGCACACATTTAAACCCAAACTGGAAGAAAAATAACTAAGACAGACTCTTTCCACTCTGGTTAAATCACCCTTCTGCAGCCTTAACTTCTCCGTGGCAGATGGAAGAACATAACCATAAATATGTTTGCAGAAGCTGCTGAAATATTTACGTGGCACGGCACGAGCGCCCAGTAACAACTTCCTTCCAACGAGAAACCCAGCTGAAAGCTGTCTGCCAATGCTGTGTGGAGATGAAATGCCATATACCACTTTAAATTCTAATTTTGCATGCAATAAAAGCTCCCCATAACAGATGGGAGCATTAACCACGTTTTAGAAGGAGCGGTGTCTGAGGCTGCTGATAGCAGCCCCACAGAGGTAGCACGTCAGCCCTGTCATCTGACAGATAAGCCTCCAGAATTTGGAATATCTCATCCAAGGCCACTGTGAGCTTCCTGTTTCCCTCGTGCCAAAGATGGGAGTGGATACCCAGCCATTTTGTGTCAAAAGGGATCTGAAGGGAAAAGCTTTGTTAAATGGTATAGGAGGAAAATAATTAAATAGATGTGGATGACACTGCCAAAGAAAAGCAGCTTTGTCTCCTGAGACTTGGGGGGAGAGGGCTGGGATTTCACATCTGAGAAGTTGATGGCCTTTGGTCCCAGATATGAATTATGCCTTTATCACAAACACCTCAGGTCCTTCTCATGTTGACCAAATCTCCAGATGTTTTAGATTGTTTTAGGATCCACCAAATATTTAAATATGCAGGGTTGTCAGGGTGTGCAATGATGGGATGGAAAATGTCAATGATGGGATGGAATGGGTGTGAGCAATGTACTGAAAGCAAATTACCCTTCTGTAGTCTTTTATCAGTGGTGGAAAAATGTAAATGGCGTGTCCATGGACCGGGAATTTCACAGGGGTTGCAGAAACCTAATGCCTTGCACGGCAAATTAGAGAGTTCCAGGGCGGGAGGAGCTAACAGATGGGTGTTCAAGGTAAAGCCCCTTTTTTATAACCAGCACTGCATCCTGCTTGCCTCCCCTGGTCAGTCCACGGAGAAGACTGGCATCGGATCTCCCAGGCTGCTGGCCTTGGAAAGGGACAGCAGGGCTGTTGAGCTGCTGCTGTGGTGGACAGCAGGCACGGCTGCCCCGTGTTCCCAGGCTGTCCCCGCCGTGCCCACGGGCTGTGTTGGTGTGAGTGGCGTGGCCCAGGGGTGACAGGAGTCACTGTGTGGAGAGGGGACCCTCGGCAGCGGCCGCTCCTGCTCACAGCTCGTCCCGCTCCTCCTCGCTGCAGATGCAGGCGCTCCTCTGGCTGTTCATGAAGGGCCGGCAGCCCAGCGTCCACACGGCGTTGAACACGGTGTCTGCCACCGACTCGCAGGCTGGGGACAAGGACAGGGCCAGGCAGGTGAGTGGCGGCACCCCACTGAGCTCCCTGGGCTTTGGGGTTTGCCCCTTGGGGGGCTCTCATCCTCCCCCTGGGAACTGCATCCTTACAGACCCTGAGGTTCCTTCTGCAGGACTGGGGGCTCCTCCCTGTTCTCTCCCCTCTCACCCCCTTCTTTCTTGCCTCTCAGGCTTTACAGGGTGATGGATCACCTGGGGCTCTGCAAACAGCGCTGTTTACCAAGCATATTTCCCAATAGACCTCCACACTGCTGCCTTTCCTGGCTCCCTCTCCCCTCAGTTTAGCCTATAGCCACTATTAACCAACCTTGTTGTGCTTTTGGAGAGTTATGATGCCAGAAGGAAAAATCCTCCTGCAGTTGGAACAACTGAGTGCCTGACTGCTAGCCCCTCCTCATCCCAAAAAAGCAACCCTGAAACTGCTTGTCAGTAAATAATTGGTTATTATTAGGACTTTAGGGTTTACTCACTGGCATAACATTGATTGTTGTATGCATAATAAATTTGGGAAAGCCTTGCCTTTGGGACTGTTTTCTCCCATCTCAGCTTCTCCGAGCACCTCGGAGCTCCTGCTCCTTTAGGAGTTGAAGAGGCTGTGATGAGTCAGTGTAAAACCAAGGCTTTGGCAAACTGGCACTTGCTGCAGCTGGGATGTTTGTGCCCACACAAAGGGAGTGCAGCTGCTCTTCCCCTGCGTGCTTTCCCTGGGCTCCTGGTGAGTCAGTGGAGAGGATCCCAGATAAGTGACACAGTGGGGAACCATCTGCACTAGTACTGGTGTTACAGACCTCCCATGTGTCCTAATCAGGCTGTACCTTCAGAAAACAAATGCACATTTAAGGACACCTCACAGCAGGGCATCAGCAGAGATTACCAAACACAGCCCTTACCAAAAAGCTTTTCTCAGACTTGCAGAATGAGCCTTTTAAAATTTAGGCAAAACCAGGGTGGCACTTGAACTGCTGACACGTCACTAGAGCTTTCATTAGCACTTGTGGGCAATCCAGATCTGCCCTGGATGGCTCAGCAATGGCTCAGCCACCACCCACACTGTGGTGTGTCTCTGCTGCCATCAGCATCTCTTATCTGGGAACCACATCCCGGAGAGTCCTGTCCTTGGCTCTCCCAGTTTGTTGGCCCTTGGCCACATACAGGACAGGTTTAGTGTGTGGCTTTAGTGGCTCTGGAAGGTTTTTGGTATCCCATGTTTGAACTCTCTGGGAGGGCATCCAACCTTTGAAGGAATTGCTTCCAGGGTTTTCTTGTTAGGTTTTTGTTTTTATTTTTTTCCTTTCTATATTGTAATGTTTTCCAAATGCCAGAATCCCTGTAGGTCTCCAGTCTCAGGACAGAAGTGTGTGGCAGAGGGGGCAGATCTCTGTGTTCTCACCCATCCCTGACCCACCAGTGACAAGTGCAGGGCAGAAGTGCTGCTCCCTACTGCCGATTTTTGCTTCTTTTGGCAAGGAAAAAGGGCTCTTTACCCTCACCCTCCCCTCCCTGCCACTGCTGGTTCCCTCCCCAGGGAATGCCAGCCGGGGAGCCCACCTTGGACCTTGGAGACGAAGCCGAGGCTGCGCTTGAGGTCGGAGCAGATGGAGTGGAGGCACCAGCGGAACTTGGCGTCACAGCGGTACTTGTTGGCCCCGCAGGTGTCATAGCAAATGTCCAGCTGGTTACAGCACTTGGTCATGGCAGGGATGCCCAAATCTAGCTGGGGAAAGAGAAAAGAAGTGTCCCTGGGCTGTGTCCTGGCCTCAGGCTCACACAGCTGTGACGGGGCGAGGTGCTGCAGAGCCCAGCTGGTCCCTTCTCCAGAAATTTCCCCGGATAGCTGGGGCAGAAGGAGGGAACGTGTGATGCTCCCTCACCATCTCAAGAAAGTGGTGACAGTGGTGCAGATTCAGTGCAGGGTAGATCCCATCCCCTTCTCCCCTCTGTCACAGAGAATAAACCTCTGGTAGAGAGGGGGGAAACAGCCCCTCCACAACCATTTGCTGGGTTTTATTTGTCCGAGCTCATCAGAGAGCTCCATGTCCTTGCCAGCAGTGGCAAAAGCCTCTTTTTCCTCCTTTTCCCAAAATGTAACAAGTCCTGCATTTTGGCCTAATAAATCTGCCATAGGTGTTTCTAATGACTTATTTCTCAGAGATGCACTTGTGAGGAGGCCAAGGACAAACACGGCGTGGTCAGGGGAGTTCTGCTCTCCTGGAGTAAACAGCAAGCTTAGCTAATAACCATGGGAGTGAGGGGGCAGAAGGCCTGTCTTCTGGAGAGATTGGACTCATTAGCTTGTTATAAATTATTCCTCTTTTTGGCCTTCCTCATGTAATATTTAGGAGATGAATTGTTCCTTCATCGTGCCCGTGATTGCCCATGTCAGGAGGAGCTACCACAGACATACCCACAAGGTTTGCAATGAAATAGAGTTTAAGGGACTAAACCTAAGATGGAAAATGGGCTGCAGAGAGAGGGGCTTTCAGAGCAGGAATCTGCCTAATTGCTGCAGACTTCATGGGCTGCATGAGCTAAAGGGGAATTCCTGCTCTGAGAGCCTCCTGGGAGTGCTTTTCCCAGCGACTGCAATATGATTTTGTTAATTGCCTTTAAAATAACAGGCAGGTGCAGCATCAAAGCCTGTGTGTTTAATTCAGTGCTTGGCAGAGGCAAAAAGCCTGGGAGGGGTGAAGGGCCAGGGGTGGAGGATGCACTCAGGTATTGCTGTGTGCACACTGTCACCGAGCTTCCCAGCACTGAGCATGTTCCCTTCTCTCTTCTCAGAATTATTGGCTGGTTTTGTGATTAGGGAGCTGCCCCATTTCAGTACATACACTTTCGGGTACCTTGAGCCCCAGAAAATTGGAGCTACAGCCGTTGGGTTCCTGGGGCTTGTAGTGAGGTCGTGGCATTGGAGCCTTCCCTGGGAAAGAAAGGACAAGGGTTAGGAAAGCCTGTCTTCCCAAGAGGTAGCACCAAAAAGCAAGGAGTGGCAGACAGCTCCCCTTTGGTCTGCATCCCCAAACACTTCATTCCGGTCCAGGAATGTGCCTCCTGAGAGCTCTGCACAGCTGGGATCACCCAGGTGGGGTTTTAACTCCTGCAAGAAGCTACTAGTTACACCACTAGCTTAGCAAGGGGTTTCTGTCCACCCTCAGTTCTTTCTTGGTGTTGGTGTGCTATGGGGCTCCACAAAATTGTGTTAGACCTTGCATGTCTGATCTGGCTCTGAGCAGGTCTTCTTGGTCCATTTTCTGCAGATGGTGATGCACTGCCACGTTTTGCAAATAGTTTCTATTCCTTTAATCCCTGCACCTCCCTCACTCTGCTTCTTAATATGCATAAAGGAGCAAGAATTCCCTCTATGAGTAATTATTTACCTAATGCAGAAAGAGTCCAGCAAACAATTAGTAGCTTCAGCAGCATTTTAATAATTTTATTCTGATTTTTGAAGGTGTGCAGCCCTCCTGTGTCCCAGCCATGCTGGAGTTCTGGGTATGGCTGACAGAGCACTCTGGGTGTGAGTGGTGGGTGCTCAGGACTGGAGTGGGAACCATCTGTGTGGAAAGGAGATGTGGCTATTCCCTGCCCTGTGTCATCCTCTTTCTGTTATCCCCACCTCACCTCCATCTCCATCTAAGCCAACACCCCCTGTTTGGGGAGAACACATCTCCAGGCTGCTTGTGTGCCTTGGTCCTGCTGCACAAGGAGTGTGTTTAAGGGTGGGAGAGGATTCTCCCCTGGAGAAGTTGTGGAGATGCCCCTCAGGGAGCTGGATGTCTCTGTGCTCTCCCTCAGTGTGTGTTCAGTGCTTGTTTCAGTCCCAGCTGGGTTTATAAAGGGGGATCTCCAGTGCAGTGAGGTGTTAAAACAAGACATTTGTCACAGAGTATCCTCAGTTGGAAAGGACCCACAAGGGTCACTGAGTCCAACTCCTGGTGCTGCCCAGGACACCCCAACAATCCAACCCTGGAGCTCTGGCAGCCTTGGGGCTGTGCCCACTGCCCTGGGGAGCCTGGTCAGTGCCAACCACCCTCTGGGGGAAGAACCTTGTTCTAATATCCAGCCTAACCCTCCCTGACACAGCTCCAGCTGTTCCCTGGGTCCTGTCACTGCTCTGGGAAGACATTGTTAGCTGTGTGAATGTTCCAACAAAGACATGTGAGCTGAGTCTTCTGTAAGTCTGTCACATCAAAGGTTAAGTTTCTACTTCCCTGAGCACTGCTAGAGAATTTATATAGACATTAAATGGATCTAGTTCAGCCCTTCAGACAGGGTTGGGTTCTTCTAAACTCAATTTCCACTGCTTTCTCCTTGTCAGCACCGATAATTATTGAAGACTCCTTCCCCTTTTTTGTGTTGAGGTACCTAAAATGCCAGTGGTTAATATAGCCATAAATCTACTGTGCTCTTGAGAAGACCTCACAGCCAAATGCCTTGAAAGGTCTTATGTAGGAGTGTTCCCAGCACCTGCTCAGTTAAAAATTGTCAGGGAGGTTTAGTTTAAATAACAGATTTGCAACAAATGAAGAAACTGAAATCCTGTCCAGCTGTGAGGTGCCAACAGTCAATTTTCCCTTTCCAAATGAGCCTTGTTGTTCTTTTGGAAGGGGATGAGAATTGGGACTCAGAATTCAAATGTTCCTGAGCTGGGATAGGAGGCAAAGTTCAAAATCTACAGTGGGTTTTGCAGGATGGAGTCAAATTGGAATGACTTGCTTGTAATATTAAGTTATGTTCCTGCAGCACATTGCCAATTAATGGGATAAGGTAAGTCACAGCAGGGGTGAGACTGTTTGGGGATATGGAGAGTTCCAAGCTCCATTATCTAGTTCCAAGGCGCAGATAACTCTGTTCCCAGAGCAGACCTTCCACTAAGCTGAAGTCACAGCTGTTAGAATGCCTTAAAAAGTTGTCCTGAGGAATAAACCCTCACGTGAGGGTTGTGGTGATCAACAAAACACCGAACTGCCTCCGAGATGAGCCCCTGTAGGAAACCTGCCCCTCTTCTCTGAAAATAGAAGTTAATAATTTGTAAAGTGCCTCTTTGTGAACTCTTACACCACTGTTAACCTCTCTCCCACGCCTTGTTTTCTAGTTAACAGGAAAACAAAAGCAGATCAGAAATACCAGGCGTTCCTGACTCTCCACGAGCATCAACTCCCTGCTCCTGTTACCACTTATTGCTTGTCCATCCTTGCAGTCAAGAAAATATATTGCAGGGCACTGCCTTGTTGGCAGAGCCTTGGAACTGAAGCTGAGTCTCCCTGCTGCATTTTAAGGTCTCCAGACTGTTGTAGCTGTCCCCAGAGGCTGGAGAGCAGCCAGCTGGCTGGAGCAGCTGCTGGCCATGCAGGAGGTCTCACACACTGCAGTGCTGGGACCCTGGCAGGGGGAGGTGAGTTTGTTTCTGCCTGAATAGATGGTCTCGGGGCTCCTGGCAGTTTTGGGTGGTCCATTGTTTTTTCTGAGCCCCAGGCAGGCTTTGAGCAGAGGTTCCCCTGCTTGCCACAGCCTTTTAGTGCAGTGCTGGAGAGCCTGAATTTGAAGGCTCTTTTCCCACAGCCTGGAGGTGCCTCCTCATCTTAAGGCCTTCAGGGCCAAACGCTGGGCTTCCTTGAGCTGAAGGAAGCTACAAGGGCTTTAATCCCAGCTCAGACTCTTTGTTTCCCCTGAGATGCCCAGGGGGACTTTGTAAGCAGGAGCAGCTGTTTGCCAGTGAATGACAGTGTAACCCTAATGTCCTGATTTAAGGGAATAATCCATCAAGTTGTTTGTTTTCAGACCTCACTAGCTGCTGAAAAATCAGGAGAGTCTTAGAGCCAAGTGCTATGTGCTCAGCTGAAGATGGATGTGGCAATCAGAGGTGAGTCCTGACCTTTACTGGGGCAAAATAAGCTATTATTGGTATTTCTTGGCTGAAATGAAAGAAAGCAGAAGGCATAATTTTTTGCTTTGTGCCTGGGGAAGCAAAGCATTCGGGCCCTGATTCAGCATAAAGATGGTTTGTGTTTGTTCTTCTGGGCACAGGTTGGATCTCACTGGTTTGGGATCATCCTGGCACCTTCTGCACTCACGGTTTGCAGTGTCTGTGCTAGAGACTGGCACGGACAAACGGTCCTGGAAGGGTCCAGCAAGACCCTTGGAGGCACATGGGCAGTGTTTCAATAGTTTCCTCCTTCAGCCAGTGATTAATGAGTTGTTCAGCAGAGGATGAGAGCTGGGATAACGATGTGCTTGTTCCTTTTCCTTTCTAGGTAAAATGCTGCTCCAGTGAAACACAGGATGCTCTCGGGTGGCGGACAAGGCTTTGTGCTGCCCTCTGGAGATGCTCTTCACAGGGACAGAGGCAGGGAGAGCCTCAGGGTGTGTCCAAAAGCAATGACTTCTCCAGGATTTGGTGAGTCCTGAGACTCCCTGAAAGCAGCTCTGAACACCAGCATTGCCTCAGGCCCCCTGCAGCCCCAGCCACGTTATTCCCCACCCAGGGGGTTCAGCCTTTGCATTAAGAAGGGCAAGCCCCTTTCTGCTCTGAATCTGGAGCACGGTGTGGACCTTTAGGAGGTTGTCACTGCCACACTGTGACACGGGGACAGGCTGCCCCATGGGCATGTGGCCTCGTGCTGTGGGGTCTGGGGGGGCTGGGGGGCCCTGGGCTGAGGGACCAGGGCCACTGTGGGGCTGAGGTGCCTGACTCCTTCCATTCCATGGAGGGGAGTTGCCTGGCCTGCTGCCCCCTGTTTGCTGTTAGTATGGGACCTGGGAAGCAGAGCTGGCAGGAGTGGGAGGGCAGATACATATACACGGTATTCAGAAACAGAACAAGAAACCCAACAACTTTCAGACTGATTTTAACCTCCCTGTGGCCCCATTTTGGCTAAGCATGCCCCCTCTGCCCCTGACAGCGGGCTCAGGTCATCCCTGCAATAGCTATTTCTCCCAGCACCCTGGCTGGGAGGGGCAGGAGGTCCATGGGATGCATCCAGACTGAAAGGGAGTCAGTGGGATCTCCCCAAAGCATGGAGTGTTTTTGTGAAAACCGATGATCAGGGAAAGAGGGGGGTTGAAATCCCTCTGTGCTCACAAGTACCTTGCTGGGCAGTCACTAGGGGTGTGGGATGAAGCTGGGGGAAAGGGGCTACCAGGCTGTTGTGGATGGGCAGGCTGAGGTGACAGAGGACAAGATTTGCTGTGGGGACAGTTGCAGGAGGCTGAGGAGAGGATACAGCCTGTAGGAAGGCTCCTTGCTTGCTCCCAAGCAGGTTGTTTCAGCGGGTCCCCTGCTGATGGCTGGTGCTGCCCGTGTCTGTCACCCCGCAGACCTGCAGCTCTGCACACCCCCTGCCCTGCCCTGCCCTCCCTGAGACCCCCTTCATCCTCCCCCCGGCACAGACCAAATTCCTCCTTTTTGGTAAATCGCTCTAAAGTCCAAGGCAAGCGAGAGCTGCCTCATTCCACCGCGGGTACTAAAGGTTCCCCCGGTCTCCTCCCTGTTCTTTCCCCTCCTCCAGCCCGCGGTGTCAGCCGGCTCACAGCTGCTGAATAAGGGCACTCCTGGAGTTGCTGAGGTTGGGGCCGCGGGCTCAGCCTGCCCTCTGAGGCCTCTCTGCCCACCCTGCCCCTCTGCAGCTGGGCAGCCCAGGTACCCCGTGTACCCTGCAAAACCTGAGTCCTCTCCTCCTGCCGCCGTGCCCGGGGGCTCTGAGCTCGGGCTGTCCCTGGGCACAGGGGAGGAGAGGAGGGCTCGGTGTCCCTGTGTGAGCTCGGGCTGTCCCTGGGCACAGGGGAGGAGGAGGGCTCCGTGTCCCTGTGCGGGCATGGCAGAGAAGGTGTGACTGTGCCGAGCACAGCAGGGGCAGGTCACGGAGAGCAGAGCTGGCTGTGGTCAGGGAAGGAGAGGGGAGGCAGCAGCAGCGAGGGCACTCACCGTACCGACATCTGTACTGACAGACGCCGTTCTTCCCCCCGAGCAGCTCCAGGAAGGAGTCGAAGTAGCTGTTGACCGTTTCGAAGCCGTCCCGGATGGTGTCGATGCCCCAGTCGGAGTAGGATGACTCTGCCTGTGGGTCCTGGTGGCCGGTGCTCTCCCGTGCTGCCCCCTCGGAGCACTGCCCCGGCCCCAGGCAGAGGCACAGCAGCGCTGCCCGGAGCAGCAGCCTCATGCTGCAGTGCAGCCCCGGAGCCTCGGGAGCAGGGAGCAGTGGGATCGAGCTGCCCTGGGTGGGAGGCAGGTAAGCACCCCCTCCCTGGACTTTAGACACTGCCAGGGAGCCGGCATGAGGTCACTGCAGTCGGAGAGCAAAGTGCAGCGCCGGGATTTGGGCCCAAGTTCACCTCACAGAGGTGTGAGTTTGCACAATCCCGCTGGAACAGGCTCAGCCCCTCTGGCACCGGGGCTCCAGCTCCCCAAGACGGACCCCTCCCTAGGGGGCTGAGCGGGGTCTGTCTGCCCAGGACCCTCCACCTGCCCCATAAGGCCACCCCACTCCCTCCCCAGCCCGTTGGGAGATGAGTATCTCTGTCCAAAATTTCTGCTGCCCGAGCAGCAGATCAGCACACTGAGGAGCACCCTTTGCCTTTTCCCAGTGCCTCCTGGGCACGGGATGGGGTGGGATGAGACCCAGCTTAGCTGCTCCCAGCAAACCCTGTGGGACCACAGAGCCCTGGAGGGGTTGATCCAGCAACTTAGAATGGTTTGGGGTTACAAACACTGCATTGGAGCAATTCCTTGGCATCACCTCCACTTCCAGTATCAGTGTTGTAGATGAGTATTTGCCTTTGATGTGGCTCCTGAAGGCTGATGTTACAGCTTCTATGGAATGCCAGCATTGCCAAATTAAACATGCAGCACTGCTGACCCAGAGTGAGGAAGGGCTGGCACCAAAACCTGAGCCAGGAAAGGGGCTTGTAGGGGAGCTGCAGGTCCTGGCTCTGGGGTGGGACTGCCCTGCCAGGACCCAGGGCCCTGCACAGCTGGTGGACAGTTCAAGGAAATTACTCCTTAAAAAGGAAACAATCAAATGAACATGAGCAGCAGAAAGACAAGGCAAACCACTGATAAAGAATAGGGGAAGGAAAGCAGCAAGGGAAGCCTCTGTCTGCTCTCAGAAAACTTTTGGGATGTGTCCCAGCACAGCACTGCTCCTCAGGGGGAGCTGGGCAGCAGGTCTTTCAAATATATGGCAAACACAAACACCAATTCTGGCATTTTATTGTATTGCAGGATATTCAGCCTCACTGTGTTGCTGTTTCTGAATGGCCAGAGCCCCGTGGTAGTGCCTGTGTCTTTCTGGATATGGCCATGTGTGATGTGCTCCAGACTTGGGATAAAGGAGGAAGGACCACAGCCAAGCCTTGGTTTCCCAGGCAGGTAAGTCGGAGAAGTGGGGAAGAGGAGCAGACAAGGTGATTGGTCCCATTCCTGTGAAATGGTGTGGAGCCAGAGGCAGCTGCTGCCTTCTTGTTCCATCTGTTCTGAGGCCCAGCACTGCCTGGGCTCAGTTACTGGCTGGGGGAACATGTGAGGAGTGCAGGAGATCCAAAGGGAAGGGGGGTTGGCAGTGTCCAAGCTGCAGACAAGGAGGGGGAGCACTGTAATGTCTGGTGAGAAATTAGGGTGATGTTTTGGGTTGAGCTAGAGGTGCCAGGTTGCTCCCAGAGAGTCTGTTCCCTGGATCCTGGGAACCAGCCAGCCCCTGCCTCTAAGTGAGCCTTTTGTGACACCTGTGTCACCCCTGGCACAAAGCAAAGGATGGTGAAGTGAGGATTTCCCTGCAGGAGCACTGGAGAGCTCAGGCTTGTCCTGCTGTTCAGACCATGCTGGGGACTGATCTGTCAGCTGTGGGTGGGTGGAAATGGTCCCTGGAATTTGGTGCCAGGGAGCCCCAGTGCAGGGAAAATCGGGCTTAGCAGTCCTGTGCTGTGTCTTTCAGTGAGTGGAGCCATTGGTGTCTCTGCTCAATCCCTGCCCTGCCTGACACTCCAGTTTGCAGTCCCAGGGCTCCCAGCCCTTACCAACAACCTGGCAGGAATTAAAAAGCAAACCAGCTGTTTAGGAATGGCTTGGAAATGTGTAGAGCCCCTGGGTGTCTGTGCTTGGTGCCATGTTTTTAATATGGAGCCTTTTAGGGTTGCTCTGGAGGCAATTCCACAATGCAGCTTTTTTTTGTCATCCCTTGGTCCCTGGTGCCTGATCCATGTGCTGCTGAAGGCAAAAAGAGAGGAAAAAAAATGCCAGCAGGACTGCAGAGGATGCAAACCACAGGGAATTGTGTCATGAGCAGGACATGCAGCCTGGAGGGGGTGGCTCTGGAGCCCAGGCTGTTTGCAAAATCAATTGGAATTAGTTGGGAAAGCTGAATAGGGTGGGGAGGGAGGAGCTGGCAAAGTGCAGAGCCCGGGAAAAGAGGAGTCAGAAACTTTCCTGCCCGTTTGTCACTTGTCCTGGAGCAACGGTTTGCGAATAAAAAGCAGTTTAACTGCTTTTCCAAAACGTGGCACCCCCTGTGCCCTGCCCTGGGGATGAGCCACTCTCCTTCCTCCCTCCCTCCTGCTTCCTTCCTCCCCTCCCCACACCAGTCTCCTGAGACGTTTCCAGTCCAGCTGCAAATAGCTCGGTTGCACCCAGACTTTAAGATCTGAAGACCAGGAAAAATGTAGGACTGAGTAAAAGTGACCCACAGTTCCCTCGGGGAGCTGCTGAGCAGCCACAGACAGCAGTGAGGAACTCCCCGACATGGGTGTGCACAGCAGGTACCTGGCCTTGCTTGGACCCACTGCAGTTGTAAGTGCCCCCTCCCTGAGCCGGTTTTGCTCTCTCTGAAGATTTAGATGCTGTTTGCCACGATCCTGAACTCTGACAGCTGGGTTCTGAACCTTGTCCTGACCCCGGGGTACATGCTCCTGACTCGGTGCATTCATTTCTGCCTCCGTAATGCTTAAATTTAGAGCAGCCCCGGGCCGTGGTGAGTCACACATTCCCAGGGACACTGTCAGGCTGCTGGCAGCCCCTGCAGCAGGAGGGAGAGGTGACTGTACCCAGGGGGAGAGGTGACTACACCCGTCCCAGCGCTGGGCGCGTGCGCCTGCGTCCCCCGCGCTTAGGGGAGTGAAGCCCATCCCATATGGAGCTGGAAAATCTCTCTTGGCTTCACACTGGGAGCAGCTGGAGCTGCTCCAGCTCCTCAGTGCATTCCCTTCTCAGAGCACGCTGCCATAGGCCTGTGCTATGCCGGGATCCTTCCCTTGGTGTCCTGCTGGGGATGTGGGATTGAGGCACTGAGCTCTTCTTCCGTGGGCTTTGGATGGCTCCAGGGGTTGCTGGTCGGTGTTTAGCATGGGGAAGAGTCAGCTTGTGGTTCAGGTTAGTGGGTGATCCGTGGCTGCTCCAAAGGCTGGGTTGGGAGCCAGATGAGTCACTGATTATGGGAACAGAGAAGTGCAGCTCGATGACGAAATACCCGAGGCTGAGTCGGTCAGAGTCCAGCAGCTGGAGGAAGATGGGTGGGTGGGTGAAGATCCCCTCCCTCATGGGGGCTGTGCTCAAGTGTGTGAGCAGGTCCAGTCTCTCCAGGAGTCCCTGGACAGATCCCTTCAGCCCTGTGCTGCCTTCCCCCATCCATAGGAGGTGATTCTGCCCCTCAGGTGAGACCCCCCTGCAGAGCTGCCTCCAGCCCTGGGGAACAGCACAGCAAGGACATGGAGCTGCTGGAGCCAGTCCAGAGGAGGCACCAAGGTTATTAGAGGGATGGAGCACCTTTCCTATGAGGAAAGGATGAAAGAATTGGGATTGTTCAGCCTGGAAAAGAGAAAGTTCTATGGAGACCTTAGAGCCCCTTCGAGTGCCTAAAGGGGCTCCAAGAGAGCTGCAGAGGGACTTTGGACAAGGGATGGAGTGACAGGACAAGGAGGAATGGTTTTAAATTGACAGAGAGCAGGTTTAGATATTGGGAAGGAATTCTTGGCTGGGAGGATGGTGAGGCCCTGGCACAGGTTGCCCAGAGAAGCTGTGGCTGCCCCTGGATCCCTGGGAGTGTCCAAGGCCAGGTTGGACGGGGCTTGGAGCAACCTGGGCTAGTGGAAGGTGTCCCTGCCCATGGCAGGGGGTGGGATGAGATGCTCTTTAAGGTCCCTTCCATCCCAAACCATTCTGGGATTGTGTGATACTGTCAGACCCTTCCCTTCATTTCATCCCTGCCCTGTGACATTCACAGGCCCTTTTCCCTATCCCTGACCCTGTCCTGCCTTTTCAGCTGCAGCTGCTCAGTCCTTACCCTGTGGGGGTTCCTCCTGTGGTTGTGGTCCCCGTGGACATGCTCTGGGTGCAGCTGTGCCAGAAGAGCCCCAGGTGGAATGGGGGGAAGCCACGGCACCTGAGCACTGGTCAGGGTGTCCCAGGGCTGATCCACCGCCCTTCCCTTCCTCCAGGGGAGGGGCCAGGGCCTGCCTTGCTGAGCAGGGCAGCAGCATGGAGTGGCTGGGCATGGAATCCAGCCCCCTTTCCAAAATAAACCAACGATGGTACACTTCAGACTCATTTCCTATCCTGTGGCTGCCAAATCCACCAGCACATCAGCTGTGTCCGTGGGCAGTTCCCTGCCTCTGAGCCAAGTGCTCCATCAGCAGCACAAGGCTCTGTTCCACAGGCAGGAGGATCAAAGGCTTCTGACCAGCCCTTGCTGTGCTTTTTGCAGGTTCCTGATGGCCACGAATTAAGCAGGAGCTCCACTGCTCTCGAGGGTGAAGCCCAGGAATGGCTGTGGTCTATAAACCACCGAGGGTTTAGATAAGGAAGATGTCAGCCTGACCTTCCTACACGTGAGTGCTTGGTCTTCCTGTGGTGCTGTTGGAGTCTCTGGTGCTTTCTTCCCCCCCTAGAACTATCCAGAGTAAAAGTGGTTGTTTGACCTCGGGCTTCAGGAAACACATTTGTCACCCTTGGGAAAGGCTCTCTGAGCAGCTGCCCCTCTGCTGTGCCTGTGGTGTTCCAGCCCCAGATCTCGTGTTACTGAACCCCACAGCAGCTTCTGCCACCAACCACTGCCCTGGGGAGACAAAGGCTGGGCCACACTCCTCCCCCAGACCTCCTTGCCCTAAATTTTTAGGCACAAGGTGCTTTGGGCCCAGCACTATCTGCCCTCCCCTTTTGCAGTCCTTCAGTGCCCAAAGTGTAACATTTAACAGGAATTTGTGACAGGAGCATCTCCTGCACCTGCCCCCCGAGGCGGTGAAGGGAGGAAGATGAGCTCCATCTTCCACAGACAGTGATTAACCCCTGTGTGATGAGATTTACAGCAGCCACATACAGGAGAGCTGGATGTGGAGGATTTCTCACTGCTGATGGCAGTGGCTTTTATTTGAAGCCCGTTCTCTTTTTTTTCTCTTTTTTTTTTTTTACATTAAAAATTTTATTACAAAAAAAAAGTAACAGTAAGGCAGTTTCTCAGTTGTCAGTCACTGTGAGCCAAAGTTTTCAATCATCTTTAATACAAAACTAGATTCACACAGGAGCCACGCTCGGGATCCAAAAGCCCTTTGAGAAATGATGGGGGTAAGGCAGAAAGCAGCAGCACCAGTGGAATCCCTTACAGTCAGCACTGGATGCATGGATACTGCTGCAGTGGGGGGAGTAGAAATGGGGATTGTCTGCAGTTGAAAAATATCAAATGACCTTTTGTCATAATCTGGGACGTTCCTGATGTGCCTCACCAGACTGGAGGTTTAGTTTTAGGGGACTTTTTTTTTTTCAGTCAAGTGAAATTTTCCAGTGTCAAAAGACAAATCATTTTTCTTTCCTGAAGAATTTTCTTGGAGTAGTTCACTGCTTTAAAAAGTCATTCACTAAACCATTTTCACTCCCCAGGCAATGCCTCTGAGAGACCTTCCTTAAAATGCTGTTTATCACTGGAAGTACTCGCTGGTATTGAGGTGAGGGAAGGAGCTGTTGGGCAAAATTCCCCAGCTCCAGCTTGTGGTTCATCCTTGGGTGTTGGTTGAAGGGAGATGGGAATAGCAAACCCAAATGCTGTTTTCCACCTCTGTTCATGGTGGCAGCACAGGGATTTCCTTTTGTGCTTGTTCACTGTGTGGGATTGGCTCCCTGCAGGCATTTATGGATACCTTTTTTTTATGCATCCTTTTTTTACTTGCAGGGAAGTGGCAGGAGTTACCTGCAGCCATGGAGCTTATGAAACTAAAAAAGATGGGAAAGAGAAAAAAAGAAGACCATGGGTAGGAATGGAGATGGACAAAAAAGGGAGAAAACTCAGGCGGAAATATTATGTTGGGGTTTTTTTAATTATTACAATGTAGTGCTCCAAGATCCCCTCTGCTCACCCAGCTCCGGGGTGAATTCCTTTAGATCAGCTACTGCTCTTGGGGAGCAGCTGCCTGGAATAAAGGAGCAGTACAGATGTGAGACTCTGTGTTTGTGTCCTGAGGTGCTGGATGGACTTTGCTTCCCCTCTGCCAAAAGCACAGGCACAGTGCAGGGAGGGGCAGGGCTAAGGAGGAGCAGTTCTGTGGGCCCCACTGCTACCAGGCTCAGCAGGAATTTAACAATGTATTTTCCAGCAAAGACCTTGAAGTGTCTTCTGATCCTCCAACTATAGTACCTTAAACTGCATTCCCAGTATTCCAGAGGTATTTCTAGCACGTTAACAACTGGTTTTGTCTACGTTTCGGCTCAATTTTCAAGACTTTATTGAGGCAGAAAACCCAATTAACCAAAATTGGAATTTTTTCCTTGGCAAAGACTTCAGGCTTCACCCCTAATCAGTAAAACCGTAATCATCCAGAAAATTGGACTGTTTAGGCAGAGTCAGGTGCAGCTCCCTTTGATTTTTGCCCTCATGCTAGTGGAGTAGTTGGTTATTTTGCTATAAAAATCCTGCTGTGGAAGGGACAGGGTTCATGACAGTGAGCCTGCATCTAAAGAAGGGTCAGGACTATAAATAAATAGGGTGACAGTTTCTCAGGAAACCTCGAGAGCTGTGAGGAGGACGAGGGTGGAGAGCATTCTGTGAGGACTCTGTGTCACCTCAGCACCTGAAGTCTCTTCACCAATTTGAAATTCCAGCGTCCTAAGGCACGACTCTTTTGATTAATGAAGGTGGGAACATGCCCACCCCCCTGCCCGAGGAGCAGATGGAAGAGCTGGCTGCTGGGACAGAACAAAAGCAGCATTTGTTCACGTGGACAAACATTCCAGAGGTGGGGAAAGGTGGGCTGTGGGTGTTGTCAGGCTGCTCTGCCACAGGCACAACACTGGGGAAGCATCCTGGCCATGCCTGTGGAACTGCTGGTTCATGGTGTAAAGATCAGGAGCCAAATTCCCCACAGGGGCCAAGAAGGAAGACAATTTAAAACTGTGGGGCTTTTGTGCAAGTGGGAAAACAGGTTAAAACGTGGTAATAACCTGTTTTCCAGAGAAACACAAAGGATGCCTGCAGTTCTCAACAGCAGTGGTCAGGCACTCTGGGAAAACAAGGGGCTGAATGTCTGGGAATTGAGGAATAGGAATGGGTTTAACTCAGAGTTCCTTAGAGGGGAGCCCTCCCATGACATCACCCCTGTTTTCCCACACTGCTCAGAGGGATGATGGTGACAGGAACACCACACACAACACCACAGTTAGTTGTGGCCCTCATCTGTATTTTGTCCTTTTTTTTTTCCCGTTAACACTCGTAAACCTCAATATTTTCTGTTCATAAAACCTCGGGGGGTACTGGGAGGGAACTAAAAGCACGTTTGTCCTGTCCACAGCTGGGGGACACTGAACCTGGAGTGGAGTGTTAGTCAGTTGTAAACTGTTGGAGATGTGCATTTTCCAGGGACTGACGGCTCTGCATCATTCCAGCTCCGATAACGTGCACGGCCTTCGGAATTCCTGCCCCCGCTCGTGGAGCCATTTGTTGGATACTGCAAAGACACAAAGGGATGGGATCACTGCATGTGGGGAGCACCTGCTGAAGGTAAATGTGCTGTTGGTTAAGCACAGCATTACCTTAGTTTCTTAAAGTGTTTTAGTTGTGGAATCACAGGGTTTGGGTCGGAAGGGACATTAAAATCATCTCCTTCCAACCCCCTGCTATGCACAAATGTGAAGTTGGTCTAATAAATACAAGAAGGAAAAAAACTTCCCTGCAAAACTACAGAAGACTCTTAAAAGAGATACAGTCGTACAGGTATTTTATACATATAATAAAATATGCTGCTATATAGAATATCTGTAATGCATAGAGATGAAGTAGATAAAGTAAATTAAATAGACTTCTTTATAAAGAACTGCATTTCTGGATGCTTTTTATCCCACCATGAAGTCCAGAGGAAAAAGAAAAGCCAGGCAAGGCTCCCCCCCAGGCCCAGGCTGGGTTCCCAGGCAGGTACTCACCCCATTTATTCCCCACTAGTACCGGGCAGGCCGCGTGCCGGGTGCTGTAATCGCCTTCTCCACTCGGGAACAGATTGTACCAGAACACAGCTGTTCCCTGGGAATGGCAGGGGACACCCTCAGCATTCTGCTCTGCACAACACACACTTAAACACCAACTCACTTAAGGATAAAGCAAAGGTAAGTGCATTTGTACTTCGGATTCTTTTACGCTGGAGGCCTTTTTCCACAGTCTAACATTTGCTTCCTTAGGAATGAGTCTCCTTTGACTTATTTTGTGTCCGTGTAATACTTGGCTCTTAATTATTTTTTAAACCTCAGGGCAGTGTCAGTGAAGTCCTGACCAGTTTTAGAAAGCAAGATTATTTACTAAGAAGGAGCAGGACCTTATTTACTAAGAAGGAGCAAGGTAGACCTTATCTGAGACCCTGCTGAGGGAAAAACCTAACAGGAACATGACATTCCAAGGAGAATTCCCTACAGATGCCTCAAGACTAAAGCAACTTAAGAGATGTGAATGTTTTCAGGATGTGTTTCGAAGCACTGTAATGTTTTGCAGTCCGTGCATTAGAAGCAGCCAAGTTCCAAATGTAACACAGGGAACGTGGGGGCCCTTGGAATCACCTGAACCATGAGCACCTCTGTGCTGCCATGAACAGGGCTGGGATTTCCCTTCTTTTAAAGGTTCATTTAAAGCTTCTTTCATGCCTGTGCTGTACTTTGAGGATGTGTAGAGGGGCAGTTCCATCGGAGAAATCCCTGCTCACCTTTCTGGGCCAAACGCTGGCTCCGACTTCAGGAAAGACCGTGGCTCCCCCTGCTGACACGTCACTCATCTGCACAGGTGGGAAACACAGGTGAGCTCAGGCAGCCTCGGGGGCTCTCAGGTTTCAGTAAAGCAGAGTCGGGTTATTGAAGAAGTTAATTTACACCTCCCTGAAAGAGTCTGAAACCCTCCCGCTGTGGTCCCAGTGGAACCCCAGCCTTGTCCCCTCCACTGCAGTTCACAGGCTGGTAATACTGATGGAGATACAGGAATGAACAGCCAGGCAAGGAATTGTAGGGAGCAAAATCCTCCTTCCAGCACACGGAAGGACCACACGGTCTGGGGAGGAAGACAACAGGACCCCAGAGTTTGGGGCTGCTTGAGTGGGAAGTGACTGCAGCAAAAACCCAAATGAACAGAAAGGAGAATGAAATCCTTCAGTGGCACAGAATGGGGAGGGACACGAGGTGTGACTTACATAAAACAACCAAGTAGCAATTCTGTTGCCTGTTCCCAATTCCTTAAAAGCATCTGGCTCATCTTTCTGTGAACAAAAGGAAGCAGAGTCCATCAGCACTTCCTTTGTGCTGCTGAGAGGAGCCAATGACAGGGAGTGGCTGAGACTTTGGGCTTGGGCAGAAGAAACGATCAACCCCTCACTTTGGAATCAGGTAAATACAAGTGGGAAAGAGAAGGGAAGAAAAGGAAAAAGGAAAAAGGAGAGGAGAAAGGAAGGAAAAAGGAAAGGAAAGGAGAAAGGAAAGGAAAGGAGAAAGGAAAGGAAAAAGGAAATTTCAGGAAAGGAAAGGGAAGGGAAATTTCAGGAAAGGAAAGGAAATTTCAGGAAAGGGAAGGAAAGGGAGAAGGAGCTGTCAGCAGGCAACTCTAAACCAGAAGGGGATGGTGCCTGTGAGGAGCACCAAAGACAGCACAGGGTCACCAACTACTGCTGAGCATCTCCATGGAATCAAAGGTTCTCACACAGCAATACTATCACTGCTCGGGGCAGGTCTGGCAAAAGAAAAAAGGGAAAGAAAGAGGGAAAGAAAAAAAGAGAGGAAAAAAAAAAGAAGGAAGGAAAGAGAGAAAGAAAGAAGGAAGGAGAGAAAGAAAGAAGGAAGGAAAGAGAGAAAGAAAGAAGGAAGGAAAGAGGAAAAGAAAGAGGCAAAGGGCCCCGTTCCTAAAGCAGTAGGAATGCCCTGAGGAGTGGTAACCCTGCCGATTGGCACAGCTGGTGATCCCCAGGGCTCCCTGCCCTGCCAGGGATTGGGCAGAGCTACAGAGTGTGCCAGCCAGGGAAGAAGAGGCTGGGCTGGCCCAGAGGCCAAGGCTGCCCCGGGTCACTGCTCTCCTCCCGCTCTGTACTTGCCCGTGCAAAGTCAAAGTGGGGCTCATACTGTCCTCCCACTCCATAATTTGCCACCTGCAAAAGAGAAACAACAACAGCCCTTGTGAAGAAGAAGGAGGTGAAGACAGAACAGGACTTACCCTTCCAAAATCAAAGTGAGGCTCATACTGGCCCCCTACTCCGTAGTTGGCTACCTACAGTGAGAGGAGAAGCACAAGCTCTAGTAAAGCAGTTTTATCCAGCAAGACTGTGACTGTCATCCACAGCTTCTCAACGGGTCAGTGGCAAACACCAAGCCCCAGGGAGTGACAAGCCTCTGTCACCTCCAGGAGCAGCAGCACATCCAAGACTGGCACTGCAAGATGCAGCTCCAGGTGAGAATCTGGTACTTCCCAGGGCAGAAAAGGATTTTTCCTCTATGGCAGCTTTTCAGCCTCTGTTCTCGCTTTGACATCGTTCACATTTAAACTACTTCATGTCAATAAAGAGGATCCCCTCTCCTGCTTGCCAGTTGATTATAAAAAAAAAAAGCCTTGAACTTCAACCAGATCCTGGGGCATTTTATCCCCAGGAGTCTTGACAGGGGCACAGCAGCTTCCAGCCCCTGTCTGGGTGTCCTGCTGTCCAGGTACTCACACTGTGCTCACAGTCAGTAAAGCAGCTGCTCCTTCAAAGGCCTCAAGCAAATGTACCAGAGCACTTCTGAATTACCATTTGCACCTACAGCCAGTGTTTCCCACATGCCAGGGACACCAGACA